AAACCCCCTGACAAGATATCTGAAAAATAACGCTATCACCAAATATATACAGACATCCCTCTGTATCTAAGGGACTGTTTACAAGGCCCCTTTCAGATACTGAAATCCTAGGGTCTATATAAAATGGTATTGTACTTGTATATAACCTACACACATCCTACCCTGTCTCTTCCTTTTGATGCTGCGGATTGAACTCAAGGCCTCACACATGCTGAGCATATGCTCTACCTCTGAGCCACATATCCAGTCCCTCCCATATACTTTCAGTTGTCTCTAGGTTACTTATAATACCTAATACATTGTAAATGCTATGTAAATTTATTATTTAGGGAATAATGATAAGGAAAAAAGTCTGTACATATTTAACACAAGTATCATTTTTTCCTGAATATTTATAATCTGTGGTTTGTTTAATCCACAGATGTGGAAGTCACAGACATGAAGAACAGACTGCATATATTTGTCTGTATATAACATATGCTCTAAAGCACTACATACATTAGGCATATTACTAACCCACTCAATGCAACTAACAGTAGAGGACACAAGATTACATCGTGTTACACAGTATTTGAGTTCTTTAAAATATGTAAGATCAATTATTAATAATATTATCATGCGAAAAGAGATGCCTTCTCAGCCAAGTGTGGTGGCACACTCCTGGGAAGCTGAGACAGGATGGCCCCAAGTTCAAGGCATGCTTGGATAACTTATCAAGACCCTGTCTCAATTCTTTTTTTTTTGGTACTGGGGATCAAACTCAGGACCTTGTGCTTGTGAGGCAGGCAGCAGAACTATTGAGCTAAATCCCCGGTCCCAAATAATTATCTTTTTCTTTTTTTTTTTTTTGGTACTAGGGATTGAACTCGTGTCCTCACACTTACGAAGCAGGTGGCGAAACCACTGAGCTAAATCCCCAGCCCCTGTCTCAAAATTTTTTAAAAACCCCTCCCACCAAAAAGAAACTAGCTACAGATGTAGCTCAGTCTCAAACCCCTTGGTTCAATCCCCAGTACCAAAAGAGAGACAGAGAGAGAGAGAGAGAAAGCTTCCATCTCATAAGGCATTTTGGTCTAAGTCTCCAAAAAACGAATGCAAATATTTTTAAAACTCAAATTAAAAAATACTAAGTTGTAAACCATACCCTAGAAATTACAAAGAGAAAGTGGTACCTCAGTTCACAAACACTTGTTTGTAAACAATTTGGTTCGCAAACAGAAGCATTTGGCAAAATTGTTTTTGTTTGCAAACTCTGCATAGGATGACAAACATGACCAAGGCCATCTTTTCCACAGATACACATGTGGCCATCTTTTCCACAGATACACTTGTGGCCATCTTTTCCAAAAATCACAGAAAAAATTAAATTTGTGAACTGAGGTACCACTGTACATTTTCATTACCTTTTTAGAGACAATTCCATTCTTTCAAATCAGGCTGCCTAAGTTCAAACTGCAGCTCCGACACTAAAACATGACCTTGGGCAAGTGAACATCTCTACACCTCAGCAAAATGGAGATACTAATATGGATCTTATAAAGCCTGTTATGAGAACAAATGAATTAATCCATATAAAGAAGAGTGCCCATTATGTTTCCATGGGTTACACCCAGTGAAGACAAAGGCACAGCTTTTATTGTCATGGATCCTATAATCTAGTGGGAATTCTAAGTGAACAGCAAATACTCTGCTATAATTACTATCATACGGTACATGAGAATGAACAGGAGCACCCAGTTAAGAGTTCTGGACAGGCTTTCTGGAAAAAACTGGGAATTTCCATGCAACAGAGAAACAGGAGAGGTCAGCTCATGACAAAAATGTGGAAAGGCCCAGGGCTCTACTGTTATGAACAGATAGGAAAGCCAAGGGTGGTAAAACGCTGGAATCAACTGTCATGACCAAGATAGTACAAAGTTGACATTTAAATCAGACAAGAAATTTCCACAGCAACTATTTAAAAGGAAACCAAAATTGCTGTTTAAAAATACAAATTTTTTAATCTTTTATTCTTCGCTACTTTTCAAAAGATTAAACTGCCCTCTTTTTGTAATATGCTGGTAAAAGGTGTGATTTACCAAAGGGCAAGTGCGTCACTTAAATCTAGAACCTCTGGGATAAACTTAGTCATGAAGTTTGATTTGATCAGTTTTAAACTACAGTAATCAAGAGTATAAATGGCTTTGACGAAGAGCTCATGAACTATGAACACATATTTAGCTTATGTCACCAGTTTTCCCACAATTCAGTTAATGCTTCAGGATCCTGTTTTATTAAGACTATTTGAATGTAACTATTTAAAATATACTACATCTTTTCCTGGTCACGAAATACTAGAAGATGTGCTCGCTTCAGCAGCACATATACGAAATACTAGAAGATCCATTACATAAGAGTACCAATTCCTATTTGCATAGCACTTTACCATTTTGAAGAGCTTAGAGATGCATCATTGGAGGACAGCAAAACAAGTTATGACCTCTAAGTGGATGAGAAATCTGAGACACAAACTAAACCACTTGTCTGAGATTTTTTTAAAAAAATTTATTCATTCAACAAACACCTTCAGTGCCAAGACTATGTGTGAGGGACTGATAAGGGTGGAGAGTTTCTGCTCTCTAGGAGTTTACATTCTAAGAGAAACATGAAAAAGTAAACACATAGAACATAAGATAATTTCAGATAAATTCTATGAAGAAAATATGGCAATCAGATACTGACTGCAGAACGACACAACCAGAGTGATCAGTGGTCTCAGGAAGTAACATCTGAAAAATAGTAGGTGTGAAATCTTTAGGCACATCCTACAGAGAGGAAAAGTCAGTGTCTAAAGTCTCAGAGGCAGGAAGATCTTGGACAGCAAGGTGGACAAATAGCTGAAGAATATCAGAGAACACTGGCCTGGTTATGTGGGGCCCTCGGGCCATTCTAGGAAATAAAATTTAAAGTGCAATTGGGAATACATAAGTGAGACCTGATTTGCTTTCACACCAATTATTAAGCTTTTGTATGAGGAATTCAGTGTAATGCCATCAGGAAGAGGAACTTTTGGGCTTCAAAGGAGGACAGAAAATGGTATATCCTTTGGAGAATATTCCTGTTGAGTGGATACATGGGTGTTACGTGAAACTTTGTATTATATACTTTTCCATACAAAATGTCATAATTTTTCATTGTCTAGGGGGATTTTTTTTAAAATAATGAGTTATATTAATACTTGTTTTCATCACTATTATTTATTTTTGATACTGGGGATCGAACTCAGGACCTTGTGCTGGCAGGGCAGGTAGCAGAACCACTGAGCTAAATCCCCGGCCCTTGGGGAGATTTTTTTTCTTTTGCTATTTTTGAGATAGAGTCTCACCATCTAGTTCAGGCTGTCCTTGTACTCACAGCAATCCTCCTGCCTCCTCCTCCCAAATGCTGGGATTACAGGCTTGCACTAACACCTGACTCATATGCCTCATAATTTTTAAATTTTTTTTTAAAGTACATTGTAGACACGTAAGGGTTGAAGCAGAGAAACTAACTAGAATGCAATTGCCCAAGACATGTAATTACTCTGTATCTCAAACATATACTAGTTTAAAAAAAAAAGCAAGCCCAGAAGTAAAGTGATGGCAATCTGGTCTTACGATGGGAGCAGGGGGTATGGAAAGCAATGGAATTTAGAACATACACTGGTAATATGATCAACAGGTGTTCCTGACAGAGGCAGTGACCGAAATCAAGGCTGACCAGTGCTTCTCCAGAGGTAACACCCCCCTCCAAAGCTCATGTGCAGTGTCTGAGGACACTTCTTGTCAGGGGGAAGTGGAGAAGTGCTACTGGCATCTGCCAGCAGAGGCCAAGGATGCTGCTAAATATGCTAGAATGCACAGTACTAAGACATTCCAGAATACCCATACTTACACAGGCATCTACAAAAAACCAAAGACCCCAACAACAAAAAACCTGGAAATGGAAGTCCTTACTTTCAATATTTAGAGAAATCTAAAGTAAGCTACAGTATATCTGCAATAAAGTTTTGGTGGTAAATTATATCACGGTGGTAACTTATGTTGCTCAAGGGTCTGATAGGTGAAGTCTAATAAAATACTTTAAAAATCAGTTACTGGTTAATAAACGCCATTTGTTGGGCAGACTTTCTCAAAATATAACTGAAAATTTTCTATTTAGCAATACCACCCAACACTGCTTTTACGTTTCTATACACTGCTACAATTAAATCTGTAGCCTGATTTACTTTCTGCTTTTCCAAATACAATTTCCACAAAAATATAAAAGGACAACTAAGAATACTGAAAAAATGACCAGAGCTACAAAAAGGCAAGTCAAGAAAAGCTGCTTAGCGGAAAATCATGGCCCACTTGTACCTACATGCATGGAACTGTTTAGTTAACTGAGTTATTTTGGGTTTAAAACAAGTGGACACGGTAGTTTTAGAGGCGATCAGGAAGATGGAAGCCTGGAACACACATTTCTCTCATTCTCTCCAGGACTAACAAAGGGCAAAGTATTTTTTTAGACTAATTCACAGAAGACAAACTCGCTACAAAGTTGGTAAAGTTAATTTTACCTCATTCTTCAACTAAATGGAAAGAATGTGAGGGGGGTGGATTCGCTTGCTATACTTAAGTCTGAGCAGAATAAGACTTCTAAAGCACCTTACTCGTTCCTGGAACTACTACTGCCAATCCAGATTTACATATAACGCTCGGTGAGGCTTGAAATTATTCGACAACCACAGTAGTTAATAGAAATCGCCCACAAAATCATCTGGTCCAGCGATGATAACTCAGGGCACTACATTATATGAGTACCCACAGGTGCATAGGAAAGCTACCGAGGGACAAAGTTAGCTTTGGTCAAGAAACGGATGCCAGGGACACCTAATACCGTTCCCGAGTCTGTTTTAGGAACAATAGTGTTTTCAAAAGGCAGTCACACTGGCACATCCAGCTCACCCACATTTTAAATAAAACTTGGAACTAAAATACCTTCAGTCTAACTTCATCCCCACTAGTGTAAGAAGTTGGTAAGAAATCGGGCAGAAGTAAAATACAGGGGCACTTTACTACCCTGGACACTGCGCCGGGTTCCCTCTACGTCAGGACGACGTTTTCGGGAACGTCTCCCCGGGGCGCCCGGCGCGCTTCTCCCGGCCGAGGCGCCCTCGAGACAGCCGCGCTGTCGTCACCCCGTCGGCGTCGAGCCCTTCCCCATGGACACGCGCAATGGCCTCCGCGGAAAACCCTTCCTGCAATCCCGACCGCTAAGAAACAACCATTCCTTTGTCTTCCAGCTCTCTGCAACCCAACCCCAATCGGGTCGCCGCCTCGGTCTCACCCCCCAAGCCCAAAGAACAACCACCCAGCCTCACCCAAACCACGCGCGGAGAGGAGGCGCCAAGAACAACCCTACTCTCGCGGGAGGTTCAACTCAACTCTCGCGACACTTTCTGCCTCTTCTTCTTTCTCAGCCCCACCCCCCTCAGAAACGTGTTGCCTCAGAAACATCGCGGGATTTCCATCGCTCAGTCTCCGCCTCTTTACGGCACGATGGTCGCGCAAGAATGTGATAGAGCCTCGACGGCCGCCATTTTCTTCCTTTCTTAGCAGTTAGCTGGAAGGAGATCCCTGTGAAGCGGCGGCGGCTCCCATACTACGGCCATGGCTGACTATTCAACAGTGCCTCCACCTTCCTCTGGCTCCGCTGGTGGTGGTGGCGGTGGCGGCGGTGGTGGAGGAGTTAACGATGCTTTCAAAGATGCGCTACAGAGAGCCCGGCAGGTAAGTGTGGACCGCGCGGCGGGCTCCGAAAGCTCACGGTAATTGGCCGCCGGCAGTGTAGGCCGCTTCCCTGTAGCGCTTGAGGAACAGGAACGAGGTGCGCTTCTGGGCTGAAATGTGAGCAGAGTCACGTTTCCCCGCGTTGGTGATAGCGGTGAGAAACCAGTTTAGGTTTATGTTCTTGGCCTTGGGATCCCAACTAGCGTAAGTCTGCCTCCACTTCTGCAGCATCAACGCCTGTCCAGGAAGTTAGCCGAGCTCCCTCTTGGCGTAGAAGGAACACCCTCTTTCGTAGTCTAAAGCGCGCGTGGAATTGCAGGGTAGTATGGAAGGTTCTGGTAATGGGTTTAAGGAAGAACTAGGATGTGTGTCCGGCAACTGTAGAAAGGGCAGGGATTTGTGATTAAAGCAGCTTTTCCAGCTTCTTTTACCTCCCCCCCCCCACACACTCATATCAAAGAAGTGCTGGACCACGTTAACCTTCACATCTGCAACCGAGAGGCTTCAGAGAGCAGCCTTCCTCAGGGAGGGCTTCGCATGTCATTTTCTGCCCGTCCTTCCCTCGTCTTTCTCAAAATGGCCTCAGGCCCATTATACTCGGGGTTTCAATTTGAATCTGCCTCTCAGTTCGGAGTCGTAAACTGACCAGACCTCTTTGTATTACGTAGGTGCGTGCATTTGCCCTAAAGGCACTCCTTTCCCAGATAAGGCTCTTCAAACCAAAAATCGTAAAGATCCTTGTACTTTAGGGAATGAAAAGATTACTTAATTTGAAGTTAACCTTTTTAAGGTAGTTCTTTGATAGGCTTGCAGTTTTAAAATGTGTGAGGTTGGTATTGACTTGTACGGAAGAGCAAGTAAAAGCCTTTAATTCTCATTATGACACTGCGTATTGTATTATGTGCTAGATATTTTAAGCAAATGGTCATTAGAAACCAGTTTCAATTATTTTAGTTCATTTCCTTTAACTTTTCCCCTCCAATACAACTAAAGTATCAGTGAACCAAAAGTCAAAATTCATTAAATCTGCAGTAATGTGTTGTCAGTCCTGTTCTTGATTCTATTCCAAATAGTCACAGAAGATCATCATTAATACTAGTTTTGTATTTTTTCTTCTCTGTTTTAAAACTTTTGAACACACACAGTAGCAGTGGAAACAGTCATGTAATTGACAGAAACTGAGTCCCTTTTATTCAATTGAGTTGGGAAACTTACCAGTTTTATATTAAAGTAGCATATTTAATTATTTTGTGCCACACACCGTACATAGATACTGGAGGGGTTTTTTTAACACACTTGAATTGGATTCTTGGTTTCCAGGAACCTGTGATATAGTAAGGGAATCAAATGCAAATGAACAGAATTACCAGATAAATGCTTTAATAAGGGAATAGACATAATATGAACATTTAATTCATCCACTTGTTCTGTAAACATTTACAGCATTTCTGCTGTGTGTCAGGCACTGTACAGGATACCAGGGAAGGGGTCCCTAACTCCCTGACCGGTGACATTTTTGCAAGGCACAATGAAATGAAAATGAAGTGAAATGAAAATGAAAGTTTGGCCTGTAGAGAAAAGCAGCAGCCTGTGCAAAGGTATGGGGATGTTTGGATGACCAGAATCCAAGAACACAGTGTTGAATGGGGGAAATATGATGGAAAGTTTGGTGAAAAAAGGTACAGATTGATCTAAGTAGATAGACCAGGGCCAGTAGTGATGAAATTTTATTTTGAAAATAAACATGAAAAAATGTTTGAAATCATTTTATATTATTCAAAAATGCTTTATGTAAGCCTGTGTCAGGGATACAGAGAATGGTTGTGTGACTTGTTGGGCCCCAAGTAGAATAACTTTTATTTTTGATCAGGATGAAAAAAAAATCAAATACACGTATCTGAAATCTTGTGGACATTGATTTAGAGTTGAAAGGTATTCGGTATAATATGCTGATTTGCTTATAATTAGCAGTTTAGGATATACTACATATTGGGCTGTGTATTAAGCATATCTTGTCAATTCGTTTAATTGTCACAGCCATTTTACAAGGTAGGTTTAGAAACTATTATCCCCATTTGTGCAGATGTTCTATTTGAGGCACAAAATGCTTAAGAAAATTTGACAAGGACAAAAGGCTGTAGAAAGCAGAGAATCATTCACAACTCCCCCTCTCCCCTGGCCAAAGGGAAGCAGATGGTGAACAAAAAATTAGAAAATAGACTTTTGGCGTTTAAGTAGTTTAATTACATTCTGAGAATCAGCTCTTAAAAAAGAAAAACTTCTATCAATGGTATGGTTTCCTAGATTTGAGGAATAGTCAGTGAAGAAGGTGGAAAATGCCAACAAAAGAAAATGAAAGCACAAAAAATATTTACTCAAAAGTAGAGCGGGGTCTAAATGGAAGGTTTTGTTTTTGTAGATTGAAATCAAATTAAATAAGTTGCCCACACTCAATGCATGTCTAATAATCTAATAAGAATATTGGGAAGCAGGGCGTGGTGGTGCCCTTGTTTTCCCAGCACGCAGGAGGCTGAGGCAGGAGGATCATTGCAAATTCGAGGCCAGCCTGGACTGCATAGTGAGTCTCTGTCTCAACAAACAAACAAAACAAAAAAGAATATTGGGAAGTTGATTTTTAGGAATTTTCTCCTAAATGAATCCTATGTATAGTAACCTAGAAAATGTATTTTCTACTGATCTCAGAGGTTTGATAATCAAATGTATGATATATATATAATTTGGGAGGGTACCAGGGATTGAACTCAGGACCTTGTGCTTGTGAGGCAGGTGGGGCACTACTAAGCTTAAATCCCCAGCCCTCAAAATTTATATTTTTACTAAAAGTTCTTTTGTAATGTCTTCGTGTCAGTTCTCAGTTTTTGAGATATTACTGTTTCTTTTGGATGAACTAAGTATCATCTTTCATTTGGATAGTTACAGAGTTGTTCAATAAGTAAAGTATAAGTATGTGTCCTTTCTCTATGGCTATGGAAGTTCCTTGGAATTAAGAGTGCATTTCTGCAAACACCATTTATGAAAGTTAACCCCAGAAGATAGTTATAGCCTAAACTATTTTTCTGTTTTTAGAAGTACTGTTTTCTCTGGCCTGAAGTACTTTAGGATCCATGCCTGTCAGTCTTGGGCAGTTTTGTTTTGAGACAGTATCTCACTATGTGTAGTTCAGGCTGCTCTGAAACTGTTGGTGATCCTATGGGCATGGGCCAGCACACCCAGCCTCAAGACAGTGTTTTTAAATTCCTAAGGAAGAATTTAAGTGCTAAATATGTATTTTGAGGTCTAGGTTGAGAAAATGGTATTTTCAGCGTGATTAGGAAGAAAGATGTAAGATTGAACTATATGCCCAAAGATGAAAGTAAGTTAATTGATAAGGTAGTTTAAATTCAAAGATGGTTAAGAGCTGGGTGTGGTGGCACACACCTGTAATCCCAGCACTTGGGAGGCTGAAGCAGAATTGCCAGCCTGAACTACATAGTGGGGCCCTGTCTCAAAAAAAAAAAAAAGATGGTTAAGGAAAGTCAGATTCGCCAAAATACATAGTCCAGAAAATCAAATTGTGTACCTTTTAAACCAAGCAGTTCAATAATATGCTAATAATAATAATATGGTAGCTGTTCACATTTATAGATGAAGAAAAGGGAAATCTAAGAACTTGGGAAGTATAATTGGTGTATGAGGTCTGATACATACTGGGTTTAAGTAATCCATATTTGATTTAACACTAGAAGTCTGAATATATTCTTAACCTTTCCAGGTTCTTGATTGTATTAAAAGTATGAAGCAGTTGGGGCAGTTCCACAGCAGGGTGGTGGTAGGGTTGCAGTCACCAGAAGTTTTTTATTCAGTCATTCATTTTGAGACAAGGTCTTGTTACATAGTTCAGGCTGGCCTTGAACTCATTGTACTTCTGCCTTAGCCTCCCAAGTGCTGGTATTACAGGTAGGGGCCACCATGCCAGGCTAATTTTAGTTTTTTTAAATGGATGATTTCAGACACACTCAAACTTGAAAGATGTTAATGAGCCCATCACACATCTTTGCTAGAGAATGTAAAACATGGTGTAGAGGTTGGCCCTTGTCAGTAACATTCCATTTCCCTTTTCATAGAAAAAAATGGAATAAATTTCTACTGGTTGTGCCCAATTTGTAACTTGAACCTGGTATTTCCCATACGGTGTGTGTTTAGTTGAGTGCAAACAATTATTTGCTATTCTTAAAAAATCATGTAAGAGTAAAGTGAATTAAATAGAATTAGGGTTCTGTTGCTGATATTCTTAGAGCTCCTCATTCTCCTTCATGGATCTTTAGAATACCATTGTACAGTAGAAATATAATGTGGGCCACACATTTTAACTCAGCATGTCCTAAATGAGTCCCAGAAGATGCTCCCACACATACCTTTTCATTAGTCTTGGGAAAGAGCCACGGAAAGATAGAATCAAGATGCAGATTTTCTTCAAAACTAGTTTCTTTACTAAAGATTACTAATTGATTACTTCTTTACTGATTGTTATAAGGATGACCAGGGTTTAATTTCAGACCATGATTGTTAACTCCTTGAAGTACTTAGTGATAGTAATAAATTGAACTGTCATTTTAGTTGTGTCTAACAAGTGAATTTTTTATGTGATAGTAAATATTTAGCATATATAATAAAATAAATGAGGGAATGTAATATTGAATACTATACACTAGTTTGTGTTGCTATCCTTAATGGTAATGTGTTTTTGTTTTCTTAAGATTGCAGCAAAAATTGGGGGTGATGCTGGTACATCATTGAATTCAAATGACTATGGTTATGGGGGACAAAAAAGGCCTTTAGAAGATGGAGGTAAGTTATACCTATGAGTAATTTTTATTGTTTTATACAATGTTTAGGTGAAGTAACTTTCAATGTTTTTATTGAAACATTTTTATTGTAAGGTTCCTAATAAATATAAGGTTTATAGTAGCCTCGAAAGGAAAAGAGAGGGGAGACATAGATAAGGTAAGTTAAATTTGAGTTAACCAGAAAGTTTTGCCTTAGAAAACAGCTTATTTTCCCTCCTTTAGGATGGTGCCATATTGACACTTTGCACAGACTTCTTGTTATATAATCATACAGAAAACAATACAAAAAATACAGTTGTTTAGAAAACACTTCATTGGGATTCCTCATAGATGAACAAATCTTTATTGTTTTCATTATGTTGCTATTTTAGATTTAACTTTAAAGGTTACAGTTGCTATAGTTTGCCACCAGTGTATTTTGTTGCAGATTATAGCATTTTTATGTTATTTGTTTTAGTATTTTGTGTTTCAGGTTTATCTTAAAATATGTGGATTAAAACAGTGGATTTATAGTGCTTTGTATTTTAAAAATAATTGTTGAAGCTTCTGAACTTAGAAGTGTACATTTTTTTTTGTTTTAGGTTTGATGTGTGAAGTTTGATGCCTTTTTGCCCTTTTTTAAAAAAGGATTGTGACCAAGTCTATAGAATGTATTTGTAGCTTTTTATTCAGGAGTATTAGGTTTCCTTTTATTTAAGTGCCTTTTATATTTACAGTGAGGTTTTTAATATACAAAGAAAAAATGAGCTAATGATGCTTCAGATGTTGTATGTAATGTATTCTTTTTATTTTATGTGTAGATGGCTCTTGGACAAGTCCGAGCAGTACAACACACTGGGAGGGAATGCCCTCTCCTTTTAAAGGCAGGAATTTTTATTTATTACCTGTGTTTAGTATGTAAACGTGAAATAAACCATTGGATTCTTATGGACACAGATATCTCTTGGATTGTGTGTCTGAATTTTTGCTGCACAACAATCATGTTTAATCATTTAAGTTTGAAGGGGGGAGAATCTAGTACTTCAGTCCTATCTAGGTTGTCTGCATTGTATTCACCTGTGTAATGGATTTAGATGAAGTAGTCATGTAGTTGCCTTGAGTGTTTTCTACTGAAGTTTTACGCAGTGAAATGTTTTATTTAGGAATAATAGAATAGTTTAGATTGAGACTGTCTTGTAATGTGATTTATTTATTTGTTTGTTTTGGTATAGATTTGTGGTCACGGTTAGATACACTCAGCTTTTTACATGTCAGATTTTTACATTTTGATAGACACCTCTCCCCATAAGTCTCAGTTCCACAGTGGAAGCATCATTAGCCTTTCGTCTGTGATAATTTGCTAATCATGGAGCTAGATACTTTGCCTTGTATCATTCTAAAATGCTGAATGTCCATTAAGGTCAATGATTTGATAAAAAGAATTCGAGTGTCTGTGCATCTTTTAAATAGGAACAGAATGAAAGAATATAGTTTTTCCTTTAGATTATGGGTTGGGGTTGAAAGTTGTGGCAATTTTGGTTCAAGTGATAAACCATTTCGTCACATTTTAATACATGTTTATGTTGATATTCTTGCTTGAGTGAGGGAAGCTTTGTGTTCTTATTGGCCAAAACATTAAAAGATTCTTAATTTTGCAGATCAACCAGATGCTAAGAAAGTTGCTCCTCAAAATGATTGTAAGTATTTTAAGCTGTGTTAAAAGTTAAATAATGGAATTTTAGTATTGAGGTTTTGTTCTTATTATTGGTGAGGTGCTTCTGGTTTTTTTGGGATAAGGTCTTGCTGTGTTGTCCAGATTGGCATGGAACTGGTAGCAATCTTCCTGCCTCTGCCTAACACTTACTGGGATAACAGGAGTGTGCTACCAGACCTACTTGAATTTCTTTGTAAATATATACCTTTCTCTTCTCTTTTTTTAAAAAATAATCTTTCTCTTTAGTTATGGCTGGATATATATAAAGATGGACTGCTGAATTATTGCAGATTTTATTTATTCCAGTTCTTAATCTATGCTTGTACCACTTACAAAAGGAAAGTGTTTTGTCCTGTGCCATTGCTAATGTACTTGCCCTTTCACTGGCTTCCTCACTGCTATCGGTGATGATTGAAATCGTCTATGTAAAATCTTATTCTCTCCAACATGTTGTCCACGCATTGGGGAGATTTTAGAATGCTTGATGTGATTGTGTTGTTAAATATATAAGTAAACCTAAACTTTGTGTTTTTGTTTTAATTTTTGGTAGCTTTTGGATCACAGTTACCACCGATGCACCAGCAGCAAAGGTATGCTCTTTTAAAAAGTACTTTCCAGGGCCAGGGATTTAGATCAGTGGTTCCACCGCCTGCCTCGAAAACACAGGGTCCCGAGTTCAATCCCTAGTACCAAAAAAACAAAACAAAAAGTACTTTCCAAGTCTTAGTTGAGCTATATGTACACATGCAGAGTTAGTATGTAGTGAATGTGTCTGTTTTATATATGTGATTAATTTCCTCCACTTGGGAAGATGATGCATTTTTCTTTTTGAGTGAGATATGTTTGTAATTTGAAGAGATAAATGAAATTACCCATGTTTTAGAAGAACTAAAATCAATTAGAATAACTAATTCTAGTTATTATTTCAGGGATGACATTCCCTGAGCACTGATTTGCAGCCTGTGCTGTGAGACTGTTGAATGCACCAGCTCTCCTCCCTTGACATGTGTCACCTTATTTAAAATTCATAAAATCATGAATTCACAGACCTTAAGTAATAAAGCCATATTTTGACCATGGATATGTGCCTTGTACCTTAGTTTAAGCTAGGAGACATTAGACTTCCATTGCTTAGATTATATGCAAATTACCTTTCTTAGAGGGACAATATTAGTTTCTGTTATTTCTTAGCAGATCTGTGATGACAGAAGAATACAAAGTTCCAGATGGAATGGTTGGCTTTAGTAAGTAACCTTTTTGAAAGTTTTGAAAATATAATCAAAGTATACTCTATAATCTTTTAGCAAATTTTTTTTTTCTCTTTGGCTAGTAATTGGCAGAGGAGGTGAACAAATCTCACGCATTCAACAGGAATCTGGATGCAAAATACAGATAGCTCCTGGTAACATTATTCTCTTGATACTTTCAAAGTGAATGGAAACCTTGCATATTTTATAAGTTCCTAATTGTTCATCTTTTCTTGACCTAAATTTTCTTCCGTTTTATTATAGACAGTGGTGGCCTTCCAGAAAGGTCTTGTATGTTAACTGGAACACCTGAATCTGTCCAGTAAGTATGAAAATCTTAAGTTTACTTAATAGTAATTATGTGAAGACTGAACTTTGCTCTTCATTACTGCTTCTACACCATTGTCGTTATCCCCACTACTGAAAAATTTTCACCTTTTCAATGTCTATGCCTTTCTTCATCTGAGCCATAAAACACAGAATTATTAAAAACAATTATCACCTTCCCATTTCTAAATCCTGAGCATTTAACCTTTTCTTTCCCACTTTATTTACTGAAAACATAGAAGCAAAAGATAAACTGTTCTACCTTCTCCACCAGTAAAACTTATAAAGTTTCATTTGTTCTCTCTACCCATGAAACACAGATGTAATTGACTTCTCTGTTCATGTGCCTAAGGCCAGCCCTTCCTATTCCAATAGGTTAAGTCATCTCCTGTGTTACTAATTTTTCTTTCTTTTACAGGCAGTTTCTAATAGTATATAAACATGTTTGAGAATATCGTAACAAAAACCTTGAACCCCACATTCTACTTATGCACCCAATAAAATTCTTTTAAAAGGTGGCTATCATCTCATGTGTTCATTTTCTCTTGAATTCATACCAGTCAGGCTTTTATTCTAACCAGCCATTGAAATTTCTCTTTTCAAGGTCACAGACTATTGTTTAGCCATATCCAGCTATACCCAGTATCTCCACTTGAATGTATTTTAGATATCCCTGACTTCGTTTTTGTAGTGGTGGGGATTGAATTCAGGGTTTCACACATGTTGAGCATGCTCTGTACCACTGAACCACATATCCAGGTCCAAATATCCAAGTTTAGATCATTAAAAGCAGAATTCTTGATTTCTACCACATGTCTGAGCTACTTTCTTTTTTTAAGCTACTTTCTCTTTTACTCATTCTTTTCATCTCACTTTACAAAAACTGTTTTGATACTTTTTCTCTTGTGCCTTATCCATAAACAGCTCTTGGTTATTTTTCTTTTCACAGTTCCTTCAGTCTATCCTGATCTTGCCACTTTCTGTATTAAATCTACGGCATGTGTCTGTATTATTGCAACATGTCTCATCCTTTTTACACTTGCCCCAAGGTAGTTTATTATTATAGTATTGTGGCAGTTGTGGTATTTTAAAAGCATAAGTCAGTTATTGTCACTATATTTAAAATCCCCCAATACGTCCCCAATTAGTTTTTTGTTGTTTTTTTTTTGGTACCAGGGATTGAACTCGGGTCCTTGGGCTTGCGCAGCAGGCGGTGAAACCACTGAGCTAAATCCCCAGCCCCTCCCCAATTAGTTTTTTAGCATCCTTCTTTCAACTTACTCTGTTCTAGCCCTTTGGTATTTTCTGGTATTTCAGCACACCAAGCATGCCCATTTAAGTCCTTTGCGCTTGCTTTTTTCTCACTGTAATGTTTCCAAACCTAGTTTCCAAACAGTCACTTGCTTCAGTTCCTAGCTCACATGTCTGTCAGTAAAGCCTGTTATATCTTTAACATCCTTTCACTTGTTCACACATACACTGTCTGATTGTTTTTGTTTTTCTTTATAACATGTTATGGTGTGTTATTTTTACATTTAAGCTAGGTATGAGTGAGCAAAATGGTTTAAAAACACAAACAGGGCCTGCAGTGGTAGCTCAGAGTAACAGAGAACATGTTTAGCATGCCTGAAACCTTGGGTTCAATCCCCAGCACTGCAGAAAAATAAGCAAATCATTCACTTATTGGAGGAATCAGCTTTATTCTGAAATAAAGAATTAATGTTCTTTCTTGGGAAAGTTTCGACTTTTCTCAAAGAAAAAAATTGTATATCTAGAAAATGTATTGCATAATCTCAGTCTTGGATCCTAGATCATTTTCTTATGGCTAAAAGTAAAAGCACCATCAGTGATCAAAGGCTCTCCTGGTTGACCAGCATCCTACCCCACGTGTTCCACCAAACCAGTTACTGAGGGTACTGTTTAAAGTAGCTTTAAGCACCTACTCTGAAACAAGGAAAGGAGGGTTACTGGACTATGTTATTTGATATTTTTCTGTTTAGATAAGCCTGGGTGTGTTAAACTTTATTCTTTGAATATTGTTAACAGATCAGCAAAACGGTTACTGGACCAGATTGTCGAAAAGGGCAGACCAGCCCCTGGCTTTCATCATGGCGATGGACCTGGAAATGCAGTTCAAGAAATCATGATTCCAGCTAGCAAGGCAGGATTAGTTATTGGAAAGGGAGGAGAGACTATTAAACAGCTGCAGGTATTACGCCATAAAATGATTGCTTTTAGTCTACTTTGAAACCAGTTTTCTTCTCCCCTTTTGTTAATGCATGATTTTTATGAATTTTAACAGGAACGGGCCGGAGTTAAAATGGTTATGATTCAAGATGGGCCTCAGAACACTGGTGCTGACAAACCTCTTAGGATTACAGGAGACCCATACAAAGTTCAAGTAAACTTCACTTTATCCTTCATAAAAGGGGTTGGATGTATTTGGGCAAACAAAACATGCATGAATAATTAAAAAGGTTTTGAGGTATACTTTCTAAATTGACTTTTTCTACTTTAGCAAGCCAAGGAAATGGTGTTAGAGTTAATTCGTGATCAAGGTGGTTTCAGAGAAGTTCGAAATGAGTATGGGTCAAGAATAGGAGGAAATGAAGGGATAGATGTAAGTAAAAGCACCCAGTCAAATGGTTGTATGCTAATCCATAAAGATAATGTTTTTCCTGTTTGAGATGAGAGCTTTCACACTGCATACTCTTTCTTTCTGTTTTGGAATGTTTTTTTATCATGTTACTCTATTTGATAAAATAGAGTAACATTTAGAATTGTAAATACTTATATGATGTGATATAGATTTTTTGCAACATGACTTTCTTAATACTTAGTCTTATTTTCATAAGGTCCCCATTCCAAGATTTGCTGTTGGCATTGTAATAGGAAGAAATGGAGAGATGATTAAAAAAATACAAAATGATGCTGGTGTTCGAATTCAGTTTAAGCCAGGTCAGTACATATATTTAATCTTGTAAGTATTGGTAGCAGTTAGTTTTGGTACACATTTACTATTTAATTAATCCGATTTGTTTCTTCATTTTAAAGATGATGGAACAACACCTGATAGAATAGCTCAAATAACCGGACCTCCAGATCGATGTCAACATGCTGCAGAAATTATCACAGATCTTCTTCGAAGTGTTCAGGTTTGATACATAACATACTTCCCTCCATTGGAAAAGTATTTTTCTTTAATCAAGTCTGAAAGTGCCTCCCTTGTACTTTTACATTAGTCTGTTGGATAATGTGTCATTAGTGACAGAAAGTTGTAATTGCTTTAAGGTAGACAGCTTGGAGCATTAAGAATTGCTACATATGGGCTGGGGATTTAGCTCGGTGGTTCCACCGCCTGCCTCAAAAGCTCAAGGTCCTGAGCTCGATCTCTGGTATCAAAAAAAAGAATTTCTGCATATGTGCCCTATCTATATTGGCTATGCACTTTTTTAAAAAATGCATGTGTAGCCAGACGTGCATGCCTGTAATCCCAGCACTTGGCAGGCTGAGGCAGGAGGATCGCTAGGAGTTCAAGACCAGCCTGAGCTACATAACGAGACCCTGCCACCCTGAAAATGCATGTTATTACTTGCTCATTGTTTTCATCGAGTAATCTCTGAAGTTGTCTCTAAATTTCTAGTTCAGGAATTTGAAGAGTTGAGAAAAGTAGACTTCTTTTTCTTTTTGAAACAAGGTCTTACTGTGATGTGTAGTTTAGGCTGGCCTTGGACTCACTGTAGCCCAGGCTGCCCTCAAGCTTGCAGTGGTTCTCCTTCCTCAGCCTCCCAGGTGCAAATAGACATTAATTTTGTGATGGAAAGAAGAGTTTATTTCCATGCCAACTTGTCTCTTCCCTCCTTAGGCTGGTAATCCTGGTGGACCTGGACCTGGTGGTCGAGGAAGAGGTAGAGGTCAAGGCAACTGGAACATGGGGCCACCGGGCGGACTACAGGAATTTAATTTCATTGTGCCAACTGGGAAGACTGGATTAATCATAGGAAAAGGCAATGTATTTTAAACTTGGGGCGGGGGGGTTGTTTTTTGTGACAGGGTCTCACTATGTAGTTCTGGCTGGCCTCACACTCACTATGTAGCCCAGGGCGCCCTGGGTGAACTACCTTGGGTGGTCTGGAACTCAAGATGATCCTCCTGCCTCAGCCTCCTGAGTGCTGGTATTATAGGCATGCACCACTGCACCCAGCTTGTATTTTAAACTCGTAATGTTTAACACTTTTTCTAGACACTTTCTGTTGGTGTTAAAAACAAGTGGCAGTGATTTTTCTTTGGCTGTATGTACTTAGATAAGAGAGAGTTCTTATGTATCTTATACGTAAAAACTAAAATGAAGTAAAAGAGTGAGATTTGAATATCATTGGATTCTTAAAGGGAACCAAGAGTTAATAGTTATAAGAAGTTTTTGACTCACAAATAAGTTTTTCTTTGAAATATCTCTCAGTCTCTTTCTTTTTGGAGGGTTGTGTTAATGAGGATTGAACCTAGTACCTTTACACTGAGCTCTATCTCTATCCCTTTTTATTTTGAGACCAGTTCTTACTATGTCACTAAGTTGCCCAGGTTGGGCTTGAATTTATGATCCTCCTGCCTCAGCTTCCTGAGTGCTGGCTTACAAGTATATGCCACCACACCTGACTGTAGATTTGCTTTTTCCTGAATTGCGTATTTTAAAATTTTTTTGCATGTTTAAAAATCTGTTTGTTTGGGGGGTTTTGTGTTTGTTTTCTTTTTTTTTTTTTTTTCTGGTACTGGGTATTGACCTTGTGCTTATGTGGCAGATGCAGCACTGCTGAACTAAATCCCCATCCCTTAAAAATCTGTTAGTCTTTTACATGCAAAAATAATTTATTTAAAGTAAATATTTTGGAAAGTTGCCCCTATTAAGCTGTGTGTAATTTTAAGTAATCTTTAATGTATTTTAAAAGAAATACGACCTGCTTCATGTAATTTGAAATTTTCAGTGCACAAAATTGTAATGGAATATTGTCAGGATGCTGTCCAAACTTTTTTTTAAGGCCCATTAAATTATAACTTTTCTTTTGGATAGTACCTCCTACATCCTTTGAAACTTCAGGGAAATAACTCTCTTCTGAATTTTTTAGGAGGTGAGACCATAAAAAGCATAAGCCAACAATCTGGTGCCAGAATAGAGCTTCAGAGAAATCCTCCACCTAATGCAGACCCTAACATGAAGCTATTTACAATTCGTGGTACTCCCCAGCAAATAGACTACGCTCGGCAACTCATAGAAGAAAAGATTGGTGTGAGTATGCTTTAAATGTCTAACATTTAATTTCTACCACAGACCCCTCCTTAAATAAGGCTTTAGTTCACATATACCATAGTAATTTCTAGTCAGAAATTACGGACTTTATGACATAATGGATACATACAACACAGGAAAGATGTCTAACAGTAAAAATAACATAATTAAGTGTGGAGTTAGAGATTTGGGTTCGTGTAGATAAGAGATGGTCGCATTACCTGCAGACATGGCGTTAGGATTAAGTAGAGGGTTGAAAGAATTAGAGGAATTGAATATATGTTAAGGTCTTAGCTATACTCCTTACTCATCCCTATTCAGACAAAAAGTATGAATCAGAAACATCTCTCATGCTGCAGTAGAAATGTATAAATTCTGGCTTTTGGACAGGCTCTCGATTCTCTGGGGATTTTAAAAAACAAACTAGTTGGATCTTTCCCATCCCTACACATAGTACGCCTAGGCAGTCCTGATTCAGAACGTCTGAAGTAGAGCCTGGCATCTAATTTTACAAAGATGAACCAGGTGATTTGTATGCACAGTCAGTTTTGGAAAGTTTTCTTGTGATGAGACAAAAAAGTATGAGAACTCTTGGCCGTGCTGATGAGGCAAATCATGTTTTACCGTGTTCTTCTACAATGAAAACTTAATATGAGATGAAAGGGAGCAAGCATCTCAAATTACTGCTAATAAATAGAAGTTATTGAGAAGGTTTTCCTTCGTGTTTCCCATGTGTGACTGAAGTGCAAAAAAAGTCTTCGTCTACTTGAGAAGACAAAAATAGGTAACTTCTTTGTTAGTGACGAGTATAATTGTTTAAAAAATGTGAACTCAGTAATTCCAGAAGATGATGGCCAAAGCTGAAAAGGAAATAGCACATTACAGTTTTTTATTAGCCTAAGAGGCATGAAGAAACACAGTAAGCAGTTTAGACCATGGACTACTTGATCTAAGCACTACATAATAGGTATGTTGGTCGTTTGTTAATACATACCATTTTTATATCCTTTTGTACCAGTAAACATTTTTTTCTTAAAAACATGAGTTCTAGAGTCTGGCTACTTGGGTTCACAATTCTGTGGGTCATACTGACTATGGAGAAGTAAGAGAAGTTACTTATTCTCTGCCACAGTTTCCTCCTGTAAAGTAAAGAAAACAGTACCTACTTCATAGAGTTGTAGGGAATAAATGAATGTGTTACATGTGTATTTTGCTTTTTGTTGTTGTTGTTTTTGTTTTTGGTATGGGGGATCAAACTCAGGTCTTTGCACTTGCACAGCAGGCAGTGAAACCACTGAGCTAAATCCCTGACGATTTTGCTTTTTAAAATTATACTCTTTGTATGGAAAGAATGTGTTGTGAATAGTAAAAAGTGAGAGATGACAGCACCTGAAAACTTAAATGACACCAGTTAATAAAATAATCTGAAAGTCATGAAACTTAGCTTATTTCATAATGAGAAAGTTGACAACCAAATAAATACAGCTTTTATGCATTTTGTCCAAAATGTCACATGAATTGGTTATACCTGCAAGAAAAGAGTGTTCCAGAACAGCTGACTAATGGTCTTTACAGGTTGGTTTACCAGAGGAGAGTCAGCTAAATGTTAATTTTAATGTGGCATGATAAGGATATTAAAATAATCCTGTTATGTTGTATCAGTCACAAAGAGAATTTTCATTTTTCTTAGAAAATTATGATAAAAAAAGAATAATAGGTCAGGGGACTTAGCTCAGTGGTTCTGCCACCTGCTTCACGAGTTTGAGGTCCTGAGTTCGATCCCCAGCACCAAAAAAGAATAATTTGAATTATTGATAAAAATGAGATTCCAGCAAGAGATATAAAAAGATTATGAGGTAGACTCCAATTTGAGAGAGAACTAATTGTTACATTACAGATGGAGTCTAGCCAGTTTATAATACAGGACCTAAACATTTTGGGGAATATATCATCAAGATGGTTTTCTGACTTTAGAGGTAGAGTAGATGGAGAGAGAAGAGCTAACGGACAGGACCTGATTAAGTTTCCATGAGTAAGATGATAAAGGACTGTAAATGTAAAGTTTAACGGAGCGAGAAAGATAGTAGTAGCTGAATAAAACAAACTAAAGGAAGTATATCAATTTTTGCATTCACTTGTTTAATATATTATTCATGTCTCGGGCATTTAAAATTTTTTTTGCAACGTGAGTGAGAAAAATCTAAAGTTTGTTACTTGTGATTATAACAGGATAAAATGGAAGATTATTTGGCCTTTGAGTTGTTTGAACAAGACTGTTTTTGTGATTTTTATATTGTCTTGTTTTTTACAGGGCCCTGTAAATCCTTTAGGGCCACCTGTACCCCATGGGCCCCATGGTGTCCCAGGCCCCCATGGGCCTCCTGGGCCTCCAGGGCCTGGAACTCCAATGGGACCGTACAATCCTGCACCTTATAATCCAGGACCACCTGGCCCAGCTCCTCAGTAAGTTCCTGGTTTGGTTCCTTCGTTTTCAACAAAGATTCCAACTTGTGGTAAATACTGTTTTTAATATTGCTTTTTTTCCCCCAGTGGTCCTCCAGCCCCATATGCTCCCCAGGGGTGGGGGAATGCATATCCACATTGGCAGCAACAGGCTCCTCCTGATCCAGGTAAAAATACTTAACATTTGTGTGTCCCTTCTTAAATTTCTTCTTGTTGATTTTACATTTTTATATTGTCTATTTTCTTTTACTCTTTCAGTAGTGTTAGGCACTGCTTCCATTATACAGATGTGATCTCTGCTTTTATGGAACTGTTTTCTAGCTTTCTCTACTTTAAAATTGATACAGCAAAGTCCAAAAAGCTACAGAAGTACAGTGTCTTAGGTTAAGTTTCTAACAATGTTAAATTCTTGGGATTTACACTCCCTAGTTTTTTTTGTTTTTTGGTGGGGGGTTGTTTGTTTTGGTATCAGGGATGAAACTTGGGACCTTTTGCTTGCGAGGCAGGCAACAGCACCACTGAGCTTAAATCCCCTACCCTACACTCCCTAGTTTTTAAGTAAAATGCAAACTGTCTGTTCTCATACTCTTAATAAGACTTCATACATTAAAATCAGATTCATTTGTGGAACTGGAACTCTAAAATGTATTTAATTAACTGTTTTCTCTATTAAAATTGGAATATGTATATATTCTATTATCATCGCAGACCCTGTAGTTTTTTTCCCCACCTTGGTCAAAAAGACATTCTTTTGAAACCAACTAATTTATAAATGATTCCCCATTTTAACCTATCTACCTGTTGAGTACTCTTTCACTGGAGGCATTTCAAAGAAGGTATTCTGAGTTGTGGATTACTTTCTACACGTAGCTTTTTTTTTTTTTTAAATAACCCAAGTAACTGATTTACATGAAATTGTCTTAACTGAATTTGGTTAAAAATTTGGTGTTTAAATATGATCTTATATTCTAAAATAATCCACTTTCCTAGACAATTTGCTCTGTGTGATGACCAAGGAGGACAGTCACCAAATAACAAGTGTCCATTCATTTAAATTAAATATACAGCGTAAGTTGTCTTAACATCTGGGTATATACAGATGATTCCATGTTTCATAGCAAAAGAATGCATTTCCAGTGCAAGCAATACTGTGACAGGGCCTATAGGGTATAGAAGAAGCATCAAATACTCGCTCTGTAACAATTTAAAAGTCCATTTGAAGAATGAAAAGGGTTTTCTTTCCCTCTTGGTTAATTAAGGTGGCATGATACAGCAAAGGAATGTGAGAGTCAAGTTTGAACAGGTTAAGAGGGAGATTTATATTGGGAACCGAGATGCCCTGGATTGTATTTAGGAGCACTGTCTCGGTTACTAAATCTCTGGGATCTGTCTCCATGAAAAGAATTAGTGATCGAGTTATATAGTAGAGAATTTACACCTCAAGCAGGCCTAGATCATTCCCAGTCCTGTAATTCAACTCAGAGATATCAAAGTTTTTTAATCCTTCTAGCCCTGTTTTCTCTACAAATTGGTAATAAACGAATAAATACTCTGTTGAGTAAATACGTAGTAAGTTCTCTGTACATGTTATATGTAACTGTGAAACTAGTTTTCTCGTACAGTGTAAACACGAAGGAGCATAAGTATTCTTCAGTTCTAGCTGCCAGTTACAGTGACAAGCAACTGTAATCCCAGCTTCTCAGGCCATTGAGGCAGGATTGCAAATTCAAGGCCAACCCTGGCAATTTAGTAAGATTGTCTCAAGATAAAATAACAAAAAGGTCTGGAGCTGGAGCTCAGTGCTCTGGGTTCAGTCTCCATCGTGCGCGCACACACACACACATTTTGTATCTTAATTTCTCTATACAGATATTATACCTAGCAAAGTATTAATATACAGATGATACTGCTGATAGATAGATAGATATCCTACATAGAAAAGCAGTACATTGAACAATTGAAAAAGGTTTGGAGGGTAATTTAAGACCACCTTTGATTGTATCACTTTATGATTGTCTTTTTCTAGAAATACTTGGCGCCGTGTCATCCCCCCCCCCCCAAGTTCACTAATCTTTATTAAGCGGCTAGGAATTACTGTCTGCTTGGAATGAAGCCTAAGCAGATCGCACATGTAGACTCTGTTGCTGAGGAAGTTACACTTTCTTTGGGGATACAAGCTAAAGATAAGAGTTTATTATTATGTGACTTCTGTTATAAAGGACAGGTTCATAATAAGACTTAGGCTTTCTGACCAAGAGGTCTCAAACTGTCATAATCAGTTGATTTCTGGGGGCTGAGTGAAGATGTGCAACATGCAGAGGGAACTGAGCATGACCCGAGGCCCAGCCTTGGACATGCTGGCTTCTGAGTAGTGCAAGGCTTAATGGGAAGATACTGACAGGAGGGAGACATGAGGCTGTACTAGAAAAGAAACCAAAGATGTTGAATGATAGGCTGTACTAAGGGTCTAGAAAAGAAATGCATTTCAAATAGGGCAGTAATATCAAGGTTAGGACAACTACAGTGAAATAAAATGAAGGGCAGCAAATTTGTAATAGGATGAGATGTAGCTGCTTTTTGTTTCTAAGGTTTCTAGTCTCTTACTTGAAAACAAGCAGGACAAAGTTCATAGTTCTGAAATTTGTTTCTTTCACAAATTAGCCCCTAAATAAATCAGGTTAGAAAAAAAAAAACAGTGGCCCAGGATGGTTTGAGGCAGAGCACTGGATTTAAACAATCTTCCATTCATATCCTACTTCTGCTGCTCACTAGTTTTGCTACTAGGAAAGTCTTTGCCTGGACCTCAGTTTTCTATAAATGCCATTGGTGACAATGAAAATATTAGCAAAATTTAAAGTTTTCATTTATTTGTTTGGTGGCAAATTTTTGGTTATGTTTGTCAGAAAGCCCAGTGTATGTTTGTGAGAGGTTATAGGCTTCAGATGCAAACATTGAATTGTGTTTATTAATTTTAGCCAAGGCAGGAACGGATCCAAATTCAGCAGCTTGGGCTGCTTATTATGCTCACTATTATCAACAACAAGCACAGCCACCACCTGCAGCACCTACAGGCGCACCAACTCCAACCCAGACGAATGGACAAGGTAACTATGGTAACTGAAATTTTTATTTTTTATTCAAAAGCCTGAGTTTGTGTTTAGAATTATATAGGAAGTACATCCCTGTATAGTACCTAAAACTTCTGGCATTCAGTAAGCAGCCTTTTCTAACTTTATAGATGTTGTAAGAACAGAGCTGGAAATTCAGCTCAATGGCAGAGCACTAGCATGCTTTAGGGCCTGGCTTTGATTCCCAGCATACAATTTCAAAAAAATAAAAAGTTGTGAGAATAATACCAGGAAGACCCAGCTGGCCCAGCCGTTAGTGTTTTACCCTCATTTCCACGATTACCCGCTCTTAACAGATGTGTGTGCCCATACCCATTATCGTTTCTGAAAAGAATCATTGAAAACTAAATTGAAGGCATAATGCCATGCTATCCTTAAATATGCTTATGTATTTCTTCAACAAATACATCACTGTCGTACAGCCTCCACATGACTTCATCAACACTGCTCTTTACTGTCCCAGCACGCGGCCCTTGAATTCACCAGTCATCTCAGTATTTTTTTTCCCCCCTTGATTCAGGGTCCTATCTGGTAACATTTAGTTGTCAGGTTGGTTAAATCTCGATTTATTCCAATCTGGAATAGTTTCTGTATTTTTTTTCTCTTCCATTTTATAAAGATTACAGACCTTTTGTTTTGTTAGGTGATTATCAGCCATGGTCTCTCCAACCTTTTCTTTGCACAAGTCTCCCATTGTTTCCCAGGCTTGTCTCTGAACACCTGGCCTCAAGTGGTCCTTCCTTCGCCTCCCTAGTAGCTGGGATTACAGGTGTGCATCCCTGCACCTGCCTGTTTGACTTTTTTTTTAATGATCAGGCAGTAATGCTTACTTGGCAGGAAAAACTCAGAAATCATGATATACTCCTTGTATATCAGCAGTTAGAAAATGTTTAAATATTCTGTCCCTGGAGATAATAACCTTGATCATTAATTGTTGTCTGCCAAGTTTTTGTACTGTGTAATATCACCATTGTCTCTAAAATTAATAAGTATTTTCTGGAACATTAGACTGAGATGATGCATTATCCTGTTCATCCAACTTACGTACCTATCAGCCTTAGTCTTCATTAATCTAACTCCGGCCATATTAAATCCCAATTGTGTTAATTTTCCATATCCCTCATTGTACATTTATTAATTGATATTTTATATAAGGAAGAGCTTTCATTTTCATCTGTTTAATTCTTTGAATCAGTATGGATCCCTGTTTTTGTACAATAGGTTGTATTTTTAAGCTTTTTATTACTTTAGTAATCAGATTGTTCTAGATTTGACCAGTCAAGACTATCTTCAAGGTGACTCCTGTATCCTTTTGAAATGCCTGTCATTTTTAAGGCAATTTCTTACTGTCTGGCACATTAAGGACTTTTTGTTGCGTTATTTTTGTTTGTTTTAATGTGTTGTTGTGGTACTGGGGATTGAACCCAGGACCTTTTCGCTGAGCTACAGTCCTAGCCGTTTTTTTTTTTGTTTTTGTTTTTTTTTTTTTTGAGGCAGCATCTCTCCAGGTCTCCAAGTTGCCCTGGCTGAACTTGAATTTGTGATCCTCCTGCCCAGGCTGCTAGAGTGCTGGGATTTACAGGCATGTGCCTGGCTCCTGACTTACTTTTAGTGGAGGATGGTGTTTAGAAACCAAACTAAGTATCTTTGTTACTGCTGAAGTATAATAGTTTCTAGCTCCTTTCAGTGGACTAACTAGGAAATACCATATATTTACATATAATCAGTACTACATGTGTACCCACTCACATAAAAAGACTTAAATGCCCATGTCTGTATGGGCATGCATGCATATATATTTATGTTTATGTGTACTGTGCTATATTTTGAAACCTTTATGTTCATCCAACACCATTCTAGCACTTAAAAGTTCTTTGCACTGAGGATGTAGCTCAGTGGTAGAGTGCTTGCCTACTGTGTGCATGGCACCACAAAATGAAAGCAAACTTACTTGCCTTTTCCCCTTTTTTACTTAAATGGTGAGAAGCTCGTATTCTCAGTGTATGTCCTTCTCTGACTTTGATTCACTTACAGACTCGATGTAACCCATGTTCTCTCTTCATGGCTTTTGCACCCCCACTGTCTGTGTCTTTCGCACCAGGAGGGACGCCAGTGCCACACAGCACCTCCCCTACTTCTGCCCATAGGAGCCACGCCCAACTCCTACACTCAAGACAGGAGGCCCCACATTGCCTTTGAAAATCTTTAATCTTGTTTTGTTTTTCTTAAATAAGGAGATCAACAGAATCCAGCTCCAGCTGGACAGGTGGATTATACCAAGGCCTGGGAAGAATACTACAAGAAAATGGGTATGTTGTGTATGTGTGTGTACATATACTTAAAAATTAAATGGAAGCAGTTAATAAATACACATTAGGAGTTAGAGGTTTTGATAAAAGCATATTTGCACTATGTTTTGACTTGCTTCGGTGACATCAATCCATTTAATTTTATAATATTGAGGACAGTAACTGACTGAAATTACATTCTAAAATCACTGGACTTTTAGGTATACCAAGACCATTATAAATAATAATTCTTAAATTTTTGGTTTTATAACAAGGAAATCCACTTGTCATTTGAAACTAGAAATTTCCCCACTAGCATATATGACATTCACTATTACTATACTCCCATCAGAGACAGTTACTGTATTACTAACAGTAATGGCATAAGGTTAAATTTTAGAGCACTGAGCACCACTGTGTGGTATCATTTTTGGTGCAAAAACAGGTAAGCAATCTACAGTTAGAGTTAATAACACTTGAATGCTGTATATGAGAAAGAACCAGTCACCTAGGAGAGCCCTTAGATTAGGATTTTAGAGAACAGCTGGTAGGGAAACGGTTGTAAATGAAAAGCCAAGTAGAAATGTCTACCTTAAATAAAAATTAGAACTTGACATACCCACTCATTTTGGGCCATGTAAAATGTAAAAGAGCTAAACAACAACAAAAAACATGTATTAACATTTATAGAATACACTGCATGCCTAGAATAGTGATGGATACTGAGGATGCGATTATGAGCATAACAGCTAGGAGCCCTGCCCCACAGGAGGCTACAGTTAAGTAATTTGCAGCCATATTACTACAAATTGCTATGTGAAACAAAAGAGCTCTACCTTCACTGATAGTTGACTCGTGGATTGAGAAACACGTCACACAACTACTGAGTGACAGAATCAGAATTTTACTTCTCAAGAGTCTTGAGTCCCAAGCCTGTCTTCCAGATTTATTTGTATTTTCAAAGGATCATGTGGGACTCAATATTCTTCTAGACAGATACAAATTTTTCAGATGCTTTTGCTCATACTCATTTAACAGTAGCACATACCATGGCCAGTTGTCAAAAATAAAAACTGGATAAACTTGCCCATCTTCACTGGCATAGAAAATGGTAGAATTTTTGTCCTAAGATAGTCAACTTAAGATTCTCAGTGTAAATTTCACTGTTCTCTGCCAAAGCACATGTCTAGGTTTGCACCAAAAGAAGTTTTCAGGATGATGATAATCTTTTTTTTGTATGTTAAAGTATTTATCCTTTGTGATAAAAGATTTCTACGAAGTTGATTTCTGTTTAAAGAAAGCAATTACAGTGGCCTTCTAGATAAGTCGTGTTCCGTTTTATTCCTAACATAACTTTGTTTTAGTGACCTAATTTTTCTCAGGCTTTTTCTCACAGCAGCTAAATTTCTAAAATGATTTAACTTTAACCTCAAAATAGTATACTTGGGCAAAAAGGAAACTAAAAAAATTCTATTATGTCAAAAAATAAATCTCTAAAAGCAAATAAAAACTTCTCTCTGGGGGCGAAAAACAGTATGCTTAGGATATCTATACTTTATTGTCTGAACTGCAATGCTTTTGAACAAGGATGCTATCAAAAATCATACCCTTGCAACACAGTGGTCAGGACCTGTAGCCACCTTTAACATTAATGAAATAGAATCAGCATTTTTAGAATTGAGTGTATTAAAGCACATTAGCTCCAACTTGTATTTTTACAATATATAATATATGCCAAATATGTTTCTACTGTCATTAAATGGGTAAAAACAAAGGCCTGGTGATTAACACAGGTAATCATTATGGAATAGTTTGGCTTCTGTGCCTTATTAAAGCCTTTTATTTCTTTATACCATGAGTGGTAATTTTTTTTTGTTTAGTTCTTTCACATTTCACACGGCCCAAAATGAGTGGGTATGTTATATTCTGATTTTTATTCAAGGTAGACATTTTCATTTGCCTTTTCCTTTACAACCGGTTTCCCTGCCAGCTGTTCTCCAAAATCCTAATCTAAGGTAGTTGCCTAATGTCATAGTTCCTTTATGTGAAAAGATGGCATAGGAATAAGTACATACATTTGAAGATTGTCCTCCACTGTCTTTCCTGTTGTGTTTTTCTGTAGTACCACAGTGATGACCTGTTGGTTTTATGAGCAAAGTGGACTGGGTGGGAAATTTTCTCATATATAAATCTTAAGGAGGTCATGTGAGATAATTCAGGTGTTTAATAAACATTTTTCATAGTATGGTAGCTACACAATTTTCTATAAAAGTTCTTTTTTGTGATTTGCTTAACTAATTTTTTCTCGTTCTCAGGACCTTTTTGGGATAACCACAAATAAGAGACTTTAAAGCATAAAACTAATATGGTTCATTTTTCACGTATCTTAAATGGAAGGAAAAAAAGGAGTAATAAAATTGGGAAATAAAAAGGCTTTTCTTTGCAGATCCACTTACTCTTTCCAGTGGCCTGACTAGCATTTCCTGATTCTTAATTTCCCACCCAGCATAGACGTCATCTACCATTTATGTGCAGTTCACCAGTGTGTGTAAAGTCTCACTGTCAGAGCTTTTGAATCCTAATTTCAACTTCTGTTAATAACAGAAAACTCCATTAGCGGACTGTAAAGCTGCAGTTGTTTACTTAATAGTGGATAAGTCTTTAGTTTCGTTTTCTGAAACAATTCTAAAATTTTCTAGGTTTTGGTGTGGGGTGTGTTGGTTTTTTTTCTGAGACAGGGTCTCACTACTATGTAGCCCAGATTCCAGGCTGGCCTTGAACTCACTCGTCAAGCCTGGCATCAAACTCCTGGTGATTCTCCTGCCTCGGCCAGCTGAGTGCTGAGATGACAGGCTTGCACCACCATGCCCAGCTTGAGAAATTCTTACAGATCAGATTCTAGATAGTTAAAGGAATTTTAAGCCATACAAGGAATTGCAGCTATCTGGAAGTGGGTGTTTTTGAAGCTAGATAAAAGGAACTTTTCGATCTGTAGACACCCATAAGAGAAGGTTTCAAAGCAAAGAGAGGAAGTTCCTGTCTGGAGGAGGCTAAGTGAAGACATTGTGAGAAAAGTTTGACTTCAAGAGGGCCTTTACAGTGTTCAGCATTGGTACCTTCAGTCTGAAGGAAGAGAGAACGATCGGCTGTGGAAAAAGATGCAGGTGTATGGAGAGATGATTTTGTATGATGATATAGTCAAGCCAGATAGAATGTTACAGGTGAACTGTAGGACAAGTCTTTTATCTACTGAGTGAAGTTAAAGTAAAATTGTATCTGTTGGTAAGCTGTACGTAAATAGTAGATAGTGTTCTACTGAAGTACAGGCTAAGTTCTGGCATGAGAATAGTTAACTAGCCAGGTCCAGTACATGTGCCCATAATACCAGCAACCCAGGAGGATTGCAAGTTCAGTGCCAGCCTGGGCAACATAGCAAAACCACGTCTCAAAATTTTAAAAGGGGCTGGGGGTGTAGCTCAGTGCAAGGCCCTGGATTCAATATTTCCATTCCCCCTACTCCCTTACCCCCAGGAAAAAGAAACCAATGGATCAGTAACTAGGGAGAGGAATGACTGAGATACACACATGCCTGAAAGGACCAGGAGGCAGGAGAGGTAGAGAGCCAGGTCTCTGTTAGACTAAGCAGAAGGCCTTTTTGCTTTCAGCTTGGCAAAATCTGTCACACTTGGACTTTGGGATTGGAAAAGTGGAGTGAGTGTGTAAGGGTGAATGATTTTCTCTAATTAGTGCATGTTAGTAATAGAATGATGAGGTTCATTTTGGGAAATAATGTGTACATATGACATCTTGATGTATTTTTAATACATTAACCTCCTCCTTTTCCTCCCTCCTACTTCATTCATTCATTTCGTTTCTCAAGTAAGTGAAAAAGTGTGATATTTGACTTTGTGTATCAGGCTTATTTCACTTCACATGATGGTATCCAGGTCCGACCATTTTCCTGCAGGTGACATGGTGTTATTCTTTATGGCTGAATAATATTCCATTGTGATTCTAACACCACATTTTCTCTATCCAGTCATCTGTTGACAATGTCTAGGTTATTTCCACTGCTTAGCTATTATGATTCATGATGTTACAAACATGAGTATTTAGGTAACACTGCAGTAGGCTGTCTTAATTCTTTTGGGAGTATACCCAGAAGTGGTATAGCTGCATTAAATGGTATTTCTAGTTTTTGTTTGTTTATGTTGGGGGCTTGAGGGTAGTTTTTTTGTTGTTGGTTTGGTTTGTTTAAATTTTTGAGACAGGGTCTTGCTATGTAGCCCAGGATGGACTCACACTCAACTCAGTCCTCCTGCCTCAGCCTCCCAAGTGCTGGGATTACAGGCATGTAGCACCCCTTGCCTGGCCTAGTTTTAGTTTAAGTAGTCTGCACACTGGTTTCCATACTAATTTACTAGTTTACAACCAGCAGTGTAGGGAACCCCTCCCCATCATGTTGATAACCATTTTGATTAGGGTGAGATGGAATGTCAAAGTAGTTTGTTGTATTTTTTTAGTTGGTTTCATTTAACATCCCGATTGTTTTAAATCCCATTACCCCTCTTTTCCCTTTCCTCCCCACCACTCTCTCCAAAAGTTTGCCATCTGGTTTCCTGGCATCTCTCCATTTGTTTGCTTGTTTGTTTTCTTAAAAGAGAAAATGTGATTGTTTTCTCACTCTGGTTCATTTCACTTAGCACAATGGTCTCTAGTTCCATCCTCTTTCTGGTAAATGACTTTTTTCCCCTTTTTGTGGCTAAATGGTGTTCCTGAAAGTAGTTTTGATTTACATTTCCCTGTTGGCCAAAGGTGTTGAATAATTTTCACATAACCCTTGCCCATTTGTACTTTTGGGAAATGTCTGTTCCATTTGTTTGCCTCTTGGAAGGGTGAGTCTTTATCTAGGTCTTGGGTCCGTTCAATTTGAATTTTCATACAGGGTGAGCATGTAGAAAACCAGTTTTCCCAGTACCATTTGTTAAAAGAGGCTGTTTTTTGGATGAGTTTTCCTTGGACATCTATTTAAGATTGAAGGGCCAGAGATTTAGCTCAGTGGTTCCACTGCCTGCCTCACAAGCTCAAGGACCTGAGTTCAATCCCCAGTACCAAAAAAAAAAAAGACATACGTATTTAAGATTGAAATGACATGTGTTGGTTACTTTTATTACCACGTTTGTTTTTCTTGGAGATACAGTGTGTTGACTTTAGCTTTCAGTGGGCATATTTGAAAGTGGGGTGCGTGTGTGTTTTAGGTAACATTGAATCTGACGAGTTTTCATGTGCCTGTTCCTGCCATCTTGGCCTGTATTGTCATTTTGCCTCTAAGATGAGTGTATCTTAAAATGAGGTTCAGTTCCTTTCATTCCTCTGAAGTGGAGGTTGTGGCTTTGTTAACCAGTGTGCAGTTTGTGAGAGGCTCTGCTGTGCAGTCTGTTGCTCTTGCTACTGGGTGTTCAACTTTTCAACCTGTTGAAACTTGTTTCAGATTTGCTTGATGTGTATCTCCTCATAAGATCAAAATGTTAAATACAGTTCCTCTTGGGAAGAGTTTTTTGGAAGAAAATCTGAGGGGGGTTGGTAGTATATGAAATTTTGCTCTGTGTTGCCCCTCTTAAAAGTTTTTAAAGTTAATAGTCATAAATCTAAAATGTTTATTCCCTTGGTTGCTGTTATTCTGTGACCAGTTTTCTAATAGTAATAGGCTACTTTTTGAAATTATAAAGTTCCCTTGTTGGCAGTAAACATAGAAATAGCTTCCAGGATGTCTGTGCTCCAGTTTTTTGTCCTTAATCAGGTCATAGAGCCAGGTATTCATGTAAAGGAGCTAAATAAAAAGCTCATGCTCTCTTTTTGCTTCGATTTTTTTTTAATGCCTTCAAAAATTGGAATAATATAAAAGCAAACACTCCACCATTTTTTAAAAATTTGCCGTAAGTCCTTTATGTGCATGAAGCCTGTTACAGAGAATGTTGCAGGCAGCTTGTTCTGAAACCACCCTCCACACAAGAGACTAGGTTTAAATACTCATATGTGTCAGGAAAATGTTATATGTAGTTATTTGTGTAAAGATCCCTTTATTTTATTTATTTATTTTTTGGTATCGGGGAACGAACTCTGGACCTTGGCGCTTGCAAGGCAGGTGCCAGAACCACTGAGCTAAATCCCCGGCCCTCCCTTAATTTCAATTCAGAGCCCAGTTAGTGATTATGCATTGTATTTAGTGGTTGTATCTCTTTGTAGTCTCACAATTTAGGAAAGTCACCTTGCTTAGAAAAAGACCCCACGGAAGCAGAGTTTTGTTTCCTTGATCGTGTTCCTTATGTCACGTAAGAATTGTGTTGTGGTTTAAAACACATCAAGTCTTTACTCATCACTCTTTGGTCTTTTCTGTTTGTTTTTGCTAGAGGTTCTTTTGTAGTTCACTATTGAGAACTTGTAGTTTAAGACCAGTAGTTTACAATCAATCCAAATGGCTAAGAGACAAAAAAATAAAGGATTTCTTCCCATCTTTCTCTCCTGTTCATCACTGCCAGGGCACCATCTGAGAGTTTCCAGGCTACTGAAGCCCTCTGGAACTGAGCTGAGGATTATGCCTGAACCTTTTCTTTAAAGCTGTGGGGACTTTGCCAAGGTTTTGGTTTTATTAATAGTAATACCCTAGAACTCAAATTTATAATTAACACAAGGCAAAAAGAATATTCTTCTTTGTTTTTTTAAGTTCAGGGTAGTTTTATAGGTAAACAAGAACAGTTGTTATCCCCTCTGTGCTTTTGTCACAAGCTGTACTTCAGATAAAATTTTGTATTAAAATTTAGGGTTTTTTTAAGGTCAACTAGGGTAGGCACAAGATTATTCAAAGTCTTGGGAGGAATATTACAGGAAGCAAGGTATTGTGTTTATAGAAATGAGATTCTCTTGGGCTTTTAACTGTGGTTACAGCAATAGTTCTGTTTTCTCACAGGTCAAGCGGTTCCTGCGCCTGCTGGTGCGCCCCCCGGTGGCCAGCCTGATTACAGCGCAGCCTGGGCTGAGTACTATAGACAGCAGGCCGCCTACTATGCTCAAACAAGTCCCCAGGGCATGCCGCAGCACCCGCCTGCACCTCAGGTATTGTGCATTTGCTAAGCTGTTGGTCTTTTACTCCAGTCATGCTTCCTGCATGTGTACTGTCTGTCTGTTTGGGAACATGTTCACCTTTTAAATTTTCATCTGGCAAAGTATAACTAAATGAAGTATTGTGGTGTGTTGTTTGGGTTTTATGTTTGTTTTTATAATGCTTTCTGGCATCTGAGTGCTGAATATTTCTACAATGCCTTTGATTTTAAAAATAAATTTTCTTCCCCCCAGGGATTTGCAAATCATGCAAGAAGCCACCACCATTTATATTAACCAGTTTTTCTTTCTTAAAGGATTCACTCCTGAGTTACCTCCGTTTAAAGGATTTTCTTTAACTTTTTGTGTATTTCTTATGTATCTCTTCTGCACAGGGCCAATAATAAGAAGTGGACAATACAGTATTTGCTTCATTGTGTGGGGGAAAAACCTTTGTTAAATATATGGATGCAGACGACTTGATGAAGATCTTAATTTTGTTTTTGGTTTAAAGTAGTGTTTTTTTGTTTTCTTTTTTTTTTTTTTTTTGAAAATGTACAAAATATCTATCACTACTGATAGGAGGTTAATATTTCTGTGTAGAAATGAAAATTGGTTTGTTTTTAGTACCTAGTGTAGATGTACACATTCCAGCAAATGTATTTGCAACTATTATGTGGTCAATGCTTTGTGATATAAATGTACTTTTTCAATGTATACTTTCACTTTTAAAATGCCTGTTTTGTGCTTTACAATAAATGATATGAAACCTCCTGTGTCGGTAAGTTGGATATGTGGCTAAAGGATTCATAATTTCTTAGCAATTATAATTAAGATACATATACACAAATATATAAGCTTTCCCCATGAATTACTGAGTTTTTAAACACTGGCATGTTTTTCCCCCTTGCAGTATAGTGGTAGATTGGAAGACTTTTCCATTTGTTGTATTTGGCTATTTCAGCACAAGTAATCCTGATATCGTCATTTTTTTCCTTCTGTTTGATTAAAACTGCATGTGTGTACAGTGATCTTCTGGCATACTTCCATTGCATTAACAGTGACATTTCCTTTTATACCTGACCACTGTTGCAGACCTGTACTGCTGCTATAACAGTTAACCTTTCTGTTTTAATTTGATAATTACTTGATTTCCAAGACTGTTTCAGCATAACTGATTTTAAACAGTTTTCAGATAGTGAATTTGAATAGTCTAATAAGTTTTTTTTTCATGTAAAGCAACTCTTTCAATGTATATAATAATATCAGTGTTTCTTTCTAAATGTAGGATAGAAAAGTGAATAGCATGCAAAAAGTATAGCTACATTGCATCTGCCATTGAAACATAATTGGGGTATGGAAACGTTCAAGCTTTTTTTCTTTTTTTCCTTTTTGCAGTATAGATAAGCTTTGTTTTGTAAATGCACAAGTCCAGTCATTAAATCAAGTTAATTTTTTTATGTACTTGAAATCATTTTATTACTCTTTAACACTCATGCTGAAGTTCTGATATTTTGTTGAAATCCATTGTTTTACTCTTTGCATATTTGTTGGCTCTTGCATATTAATATATTAGACTACGTGCAAATACAGTCTGTCTTGCCATTGTCTGTTGAAGTGCAGGTTTGATCCAGCCAGTATAGAACTAGCTCTGTAGGGGTGAGGAGGACTGTGCTGTGTATCATCCTTGATTGTGTTCCTTCAAGGAGCATTGCACTGTAAGTACATCAGAATGACAAATTGATGAACTGCAACAGTATCTTTTTGTCAATGTTCCACATAATGCAAATGCCTATTTTGTGTGACTATTATGTTGGAATACAGTGCTGATATCTTGGAAAACCATAACTGCTTCGTAATGTAGAATAATAATACGTAGTTCTGTATTTTTTTTAAAGTGAGCTTAATGGGTAAGTATTTTTGATAATGCTTTAGCTATAGCTAAAGAAAACTGATCATTAACAAAGTTGAATAGTATTACTGGTGCTCCTAAAATATTGTTTTTCAGTGTAAAATATGCATATCTTATATATTAATATGAAAAACTTGAAATGTTTAAGGCAGATGTGGTTTTCTGTTTGCAGATAAGCAATGTAGCACTTTTTAACACCATTCATAAGTACTATATTAGTTCTGTCATTGGTGGGGAGCACCATTCGTTGTTTCAAATATACTTTAAAGGAGGACATAAATGTTGAGATTACCTGTAGGGTGGAAAATAGCAGTACAGTTCATTGTAGATATTTTGAAATGTTGATTGTTTTATGTAACCTAGAGTGACTTCCCTTACCTTTATTTAGATCTGGGTATGTAGTTCTAGTTTGAAGTTTAATAGTTAAGGAGTTACCTATTATCTTTAAGAGTAGGGTATTGACATGAACAATTTCAGTATTTTGCATGATACTGTTATGTAGATGACTTAGGAAAGTGGTGCATTTATTAGTTAAACTGAAGAAATAGTTCAGTTAGTTCAGTATCATAACTCACAAATTGGAGGCTGTTGATTTTGATTCGTTTAAGGTTTAAAATCTTTATTAATTGCGAACAGTGCAATTATTTATACTTCACAGTGCCTTCCCAGACCTTCCACCTTAGGTTCTGCTGCAAAAAGCAACAGGTAAGCACAACCTAAGGACATATATAAATAAATATTTCAGTACATTAATGTTGTCCCTGTGAGGTTTTTGTGGTTGTGTACTCAAAAGCAATCTGCTATTGCTTCCCCAAAATGTATTTTGTTATTTATGCTACCATTTTAGTGGAAAGTCTGTTAAGTTGTTCACGCAACTGTTTACATTTCTGGGTAATGTTTTTTATTTTATTTTTAATTAAAGCAAGAAAATAATGAGTAGCTTGCTGCTGTAACTGAACTACATCCAGATCTTTTTGTATTTTTCCCAAAAGTACAGAAGTGTTACAGTTAAAGGACAGTTACATAGTTGTCAAGATTTAGGAAATAATTTGGTCAGAAACTTCAACAGCCTTCACAGTCGCTTTATTTGATTGACAGGACATTTTCTTTCCCTGCAAAGCTATGATTCATTTTTTCTTATTCTTAAGCTATAATAATTCAGTAAGAACATTGTGGGTCAATTTCACTATGATTTTTCTTAGATAATTCTGTTATATGCTGAAAAAGGAAAAATTATAAGGAATACTGGCAGTACGTTTTGATAAAAGGCTTGTGCATCAGTGAAATGTTAACTGTATAGCAAATAACCTTTCATAATCTGTGTAGCAACCAGTATTTTTCTGACTTACAATAATTTAATAACTGTCGCTGCATTTATTTTATTTTTTTGCCAGTTTAAAATGTTTGTGTGTTGTAGATGATTTTAACTGGTACATATTTTGAGTTAAGATGAATGTATTAAAGCAGCATCATAGCAGTTTTGTTTATTCGATTTCTAAAATGTGCTGATCCTTTTAAAATTCCTGCTTATCTCTAAAACAAAGAAAAATATTCAAAAATACTGCCTTCATTTTCACACACAGTGCTGAAGATGCTGCAAGCACCAAATCATAGCTCATAAAATCAGGTCCTGAGATAGTTACCCATAAAGAGGAATCCTTTGAGTGTATGCCATTGGTGAGCCGATGAGCATGGACCATAGAAGGGCTCATGTAGAAGGTAAAATTGGCAAGTCATTGAGAAATATGAAATGTATTCCCATACATAATATGGTATAGGGTGTAATGTACCTGCTTTTGATCACTTTTCCTTTTAAAGTGCTATTTGGTTGATTTTTAATGTCCCATGAACTGTTAAATTTCTTAAGTTATATAGTTACTGCACCACATTTATGTGTTTGTGTGTTTTGATGATCAATGCTAGGTATGTGAAAATTGACAGCAGTAAAGGGCCTTAAGAGCTTGTCAAGTTCTAAGTAGTTGTAGTTTGCATTTTTATTAAAGAATATAGATGAATGCTAATAGGTATTTGGGCATTGTTTATATCTCCTGAGATTTTTTTTTTAGTTCGTTATCATAAGCCTTCACTGGTACTACGAGCATTTTTTTTAAATGGCGCTAATCTTAACCTTGAAATACATGGAAAGCCGAAAAGGTGAGCCAGTTGACTTGAATGCAGTGTATGTGCAGGGGTGGTGGAAAAATAATGTTTAGTTTAGATTGAAGTTAAACTGATTTATTTGATTTAGCACTTAAGCAAAAATTTGAGAACTTTTTAAAAGACATCTTAGTGTGGTGATAATACTTCTATCATTTGTTTCTTTTAGAAATGAGAAAGTATAGTTTTGCTTTTTAATGAAAATAGTTTTAATATTAAAACTAGTGATTTGGTTCTAGTTGTTTATTAACACTGTAAAATACATCCTTAAACATCTTGGTAGATAATTAATAAGGGAAAGTTCCAGTAGAAATAGAGTACCTTCAGAAGGAATTAGTATATTAAAAAGTGGTAACACAATTTGTTTGAATACTCTGCCAATAGAACCAGTTCTATCTGGAAAGTTATCTCTTGTCTAGAATAATGATACAGAGTTTAGCCATCAGTGAAGATGTCTTACTTTTGTTCTCTGTCTGCAAATTCTGCCTCATTTTAAAATGCATTTTAACAATACTTAAAGATAATTTTGACTCTGAAAATAACCTTTTTGTTTAATCAGTCACTTGACTTTTCTTACCACAACAAACTTTTGAGGGATTTTTTAATTGGTGCTTTTACAAAGCAAAACCCGGGGTTTTATTTTCTTTGGTAATACCCCCTAAAGAAACAGTTAAATGTATTTGCCGAATATATATTCTTTTCTTATGCATGCTCAATGCATTTTCGTCCTGAGAAAAGTGTTCTCTACAGAAACTACCCGTGTGTAAAAAGAAGATTGGCTTAAAATGGCTACTGTGATGGGAACAGTGTCTTAGGGAGATGCAGCTTGGACTTGAGGTAAATTGAATACTTTACAAACTGTGGTTTAGACTTTGCTTTAATGACGCTGTATGTAAAGGATACGTGATTGCTGTGATTTTGTATTCATTATGGTCTCAATAAAAAAATAAATGTACATTGACAAATATCATGAGTACTTTGTGTCTTTGATACATAAATACCCACTAAAAAGTTTTTTTCTGCCTTATACTTCCCCTTAAAGGTTTACAAACTGAGAAACCATGAAGGATAAGCATTTGATTACACAAGTCTTTGAGGAAAGAACCATTTTTTTCCCCTTTAATACAGAAGTTACTTTATTATGGCTTCACATTGTAAAATAAAATTGTCTTTTAGAAAGTTAAAATATAAAACAACTTGATAAGAGAACATAATAGCTACTTATTTACAAACTTATTTTAAAGACTAGGGTTTTAAATTTATTTTTAATTGGGCCACTTCTGAGTCTAATCCTCTTAGATCTTGAAACCTTCGGTGATGTTGAAAATCTTTTCTCCTGCATAAACTATTAATACATAGTTTTCTCATTAAAGTATAATTTGTTCACACAAGATCACAAAAGCTTGTTGTGTGGCTTTATATATTGCATATTTGAATAGTACATGTTAAATATTCAGAACACTGGTTTCTATCAAATTTTGTCTGGCAGTTTCTTAAACATCTTACTTTAATTTTGTTTCTATCCATGCTATCTTTTTCCCATGAAAAGAATGATACTTTTTCCCCTCTATATCTGCTTCAAAAAGACTGAAACTATCACAATCAAAATTATGTACTACTATGAAAAAAAAAGTCCACTCAAATTTGTAGGTTCCAAATTCATTGCCTTAGCTATTTTGGACTAATTTTAGCCATAAAAGTTCATAAATGACATTCTTTCATGCAAAATAATGTATACTTTTAAAAATAGAATTGATATAAAACTTAGGGGAAATACATGGTTTTTGTATCCATTTTTGATAGAATAATGGACTAAATTTCCCATCCCGTTCAGATACATTTTATTGACTTCTGCAGAATATGGTGATAAAGGTGATGCTCGTTTGGAAAAGAAGGCATTCTTTAGATAAGCTTCTGTTTTGAAAACTGTTAGGAAAAGGAAGTAAGTCAACATATGGCCCTTCTGGTTTCCTTTTTGGACCCCGCCACAGAAAAGATGGATAATACTAAGTAGTAAGAAAGTTGGGGAGAGAGAAAGTTCCAAGGGGAGAAGGAAGCCTAGTAGTCGTCAGCTAAAAAGAGAAGGAGAAGAAGAGTTATTTTTGAAGGAAAAACACATTATAAATAGAGCAGAAGATGAAAAGACTGATTAATTCTTACTTTCAATGGTAAGAATACAGCTACTAGCTGCAGAGCCTTTATTATTGACTGCTTTACACATGTACTCCCCTCCATCTTCCGGGAAAGTTTCTGGTAAAAAGAGGCAGTACGTTTCTCCTCTTTCAATGTATTGGTAGTCTTCTCCATCCTGCAGTATCTCTCCTTCAAACCACCATGTAATTTCTGGTTTGGGTTCTCCTGTTACTTTCACAGTAAATCTGACTGGCTCACTGTCTACAACTGATGTGTTTTTTAGTGGCTTCTTGAACCATGGAGCTCCTGATCTGGTTTGCTCTTCATCTTCAATAGTAGAGCCACTCATGATGCTACCCTCCTCTTCCTCCTCCTCTTCCCTTTTCTGTATTAAAATAAGCACATTCAGGTTGGCATTTATGATCATCACAGTGTTAGCAGAGCACAGATTTTGTAATTGGATTTTGAAGGTAAAAGTAAAGAACATACTAACTACAGAGTACTGAACATTCTAGTGACTTGAAAGCTATTAAAACATTTAAAGTTCTTCATGTAACTGGTTTTTAAGCACATTTATTGGAAAATAAGCCTGGTACTGGTACCTTCTGTAGTGCTGCATCAATTTCTTTTTGCTCAAACTGCATTCTTAGTAACTTTTGTTCCTCAATTCTTCTCTGCTCTTCTTCTTCTCTTGCCTTAGCCATCCGTTCAAATCTCGCTTTCATATTCACTTTATGAGTAAATGGAGCCTCGCTTTTTTTTGCAGGCTTTACATCAACATCTTCTTCCTTTAAGAAAGTGGACCAAGGTTAACAATTGTTTTCTGAAAACCCAGAACTAAAATGTTAATAGTTCTGTCACTGTAGGCACCAAAAAATGAACATGTTTTGTGCTGTTCTTCAGGCTGGGAGACACCTAATTGTGGTCTTTTTCTCCCAATGTAAAGATCACATAACTGCCCAGTAAATGGATTGATTGTTTTTGATCATACTAGATAATCGGGGGGGGGTGTGCGGCAACAAGTACTGTAGCTCTTAACAGTTGAAATTCACAAAAGACTCCATACTTCACCCTATTATGAAAAATGTAACTTCTTTCTCACTTTATGATTTTTCTTCATTCTTACATGTGTATCCTAGAAATGAAAGGCAATATCTAGAATGTGGGGAGGTGAAAGAGTGAGTGAAGAGCAGAAGCAACTGTCAGGCAGGCTGGTGGTGTGACATCCCCCGATGGGCATCAGGAGGAGTTACAGCCCAGGTGTGGGGTGCACCCTTGTAACTCCTGCCTTGGCTGAGGCAGGATCCCAAGTTTAATGCCGGTCTGAGCAACTTGGTAAGATCTTTGCTCAAAATTTTTATAAAACGGGTGGGGATGTAGCTTAGTGGTAGAGAGTGTGAGCTCCTGGGTTAAGTCCCTGTACAGAAAGCAGCAGAGTGGTGGTCAGGTACAGTAATTCATGTTTCAAAAATAGTGTGGTCTGACTTGTTTCCAGACTACTGTACTTAGGTTTTTGTGTGTCTGTCTCAAAGTCTTAGCGTTTATGTGGAGAAACTGCTTTAGGGTACCAGATCCAACTAAAGGGAAATGGTGGAATAAGACAGGTTAGTTATATAAGAAAACCTTAATTTGTGTGGCGTTTTGCAGTAGTGAGAGGTTTTGTACTCATGATCCAATGAAAGGAGTAGAAAGTTGGGAAGTTTTGCAGAGTTCATGTAAGGAAATCCTGGAACATCAGGCACAGGCAGATGCCGGATGGTAGAGTGTATCTGCCATTTTCACGTGGTAAAAACTGACTTGCCAGGGGTTTAGCTCAGCAGTTTCGCCGCCTACTGCACAAGCGCAAGGACCTGAGTTCGATCCCTGGTACCAAAAAAAAGCTATGTGACTGCACTTATGTGTTAACTGTTACACTTAGAAGATAAGACTAAGAAATATGTGTTGCTTATTTCAGTCCTATAAATAACCGCTATTCTGACAGAGTCCCATTTAATAACTGGGACTTTTAAGATTTTAGCATAAAAATTTGCAAATTCAGAATTGCACATTTAGCTGCCTCAAATGTGCACTTAGAACAAGAGAAATTTGAGTCTGAAAATTCATTTGCTAAAGGGAGAAAGCATGTGAGCAGCCAGTTAAATACGAGGCCCCTTGAATCCCCGAAAAGCTGAGTTAGCGTCTGGGCCTACAGCGTCCTGGGGAATGGAGAGAACTGTTGCTCTCCAGGCCCGTTATTTGTAGGGCACTGATTGCCCCGGCAAATACTGAAGGCAGACACGCATTTATCTTTGAGGTGACCTGCAGGATACGTCATGGTTTCGGAGTATACTAGAAAGACTTAACTATAAAGTCAAACACAGTCTAAAGCATTTGATTGGTTTAAAACCCAAGTAAGTAAGTGGTTTGGGTTCAGCACTACAGGCACTGCAATGAAATTTTTTAATTGGAGGAAGTTACATGAACAAGTCAGGCCTGATGCTGTCTGGGAGGCCAAGGCAGGAGGATCAGGAGTTTGAGCCCAATCCATACAACTCTGAGACTGAAGCAAAGAAACTTTTAGGCAGGTGGTACAGGCCTGAAATCACCCCTCACTGAGAGACTGAGGCAGGAGGAGCTCAAGTTCAGACCTAGCCTGGGCTACTTAGAAGCTTAGCAAAACCTTGTTTCAAAAAATTTTTTATTGAATTATAGAATATAAACAATTTGAAGACATGTTAAATACTGATATTTTCTAAAGGAAACTAGATGATCAGACGAATGGAATTTCTGTAGGGATTCAAATTACTGCTAGTGTAGGGGCGGGGATTTAGCTCAGTGGTTCTGGTGTCTGCCTCGAAAGCACAAGGTCCCGAGTTCGATCACCAGTACAAAAAAAAAAAAAAAATTACTGCTAGTGGGAGGACCTGCTCAGGAAGTTGGCTGCTCTCTACCGCAACTACTCTAACAAGGTTTTAAAGCCTGTCCCAATGACCTTTCTGGGGAAAGTCAGATGAAGGGATTTGGGCATCCTTGGGCAAACTCCATCCGGGACATCCTGATGGGTTAGAGGATTTCACTTGTGCCCTGCTGTCATGTATGAGAGCTGGCAGACAACTCACCTGGCTACCTTATTTAGCCTTTGATTGTTTTAAGAGGAGGAAAAATTTATTGAGTGAAAGAAAGCTTCTGTCTAAGAAGGGGGACCGGACATGGGTTGCCCCTGTTTGTTTGGTTTTTGTTTTTATTTTTTTTCCGTTTGTTTTTGAGACAGGGTCTCGCTATGCAGTTCAGGGCAGCCTTGAACTTACTGTAGCTCAGGCTGGCCTTGAAATTGGAGCAATCCTCCTGCCTCTGGCTCCCGAGTGCTGGGATCACAGGAATGTGCCACCCCACCCAGCCTTATTTATTCCTAATTTACCTCCATACTCTGTAGGAACAGTGTGCCTGCTCTTGTGCTTCCAGTACCTTTAACCCTCCCAAAAAAACTCCATGCTGATGGAACTTTATCTTCTGATTCATTTAATCTCTAAAGGCTTCATTTTAACTGATCTTGTAGCATCTAGCCACTAAAATACTGGTGGTGTCCAGGCCTTTATTCACTTCCACCTATAATTCTTTCTACATGCTTTGTCTACCACTTTAAGCTACAATCCATAAACAAAAGAAATTGAGATCTTGCCTCTGATCTAAGCTCAGGACTTATGTTTGACAGACTGCCTGTGCAGTATCCAAAACAGTTTATTCACCACGCCTTTCCAGGACTGATTTCTCTAGAATTTATCTGGTTTCTCGATAATCTTGGTGTAACATCATGCTCTGCAGCAACTACCCATCTACCCAGAAGGAATCTTTTACTCAAGTGTTGTTAAAAGCTTTCTCCCATGCCCCCAACTTCATACCTTCCTGCCTGTCTTGTTCATCAAGATCCCAGAACTCTTTAATAAATACTTTCCTGTCCTACTAAAATTTTTGAATAACATTGGTGCCCAGGTCATAGCCCTGCAAGGCTAGGCCCTTCACCAACCACAACCTACTTCTGCATCTTTGTCACCCATCAGCCATTATTCTATGATTGTTGCCTTACACTCTTTGGACCTACAGTCTGCTCCCCAGAAAAATGTGCCACCTCTGCTGACTCACATCGTCCCCTCAATTGAATATATCCCTTTATGCAGCCTTCCCATTCGGCTTAAGTGCCCTTTTTCTTGGCCCTGTTAAACCTCACCTTAGCCAGGTGTGATGGTGTCTTTGATCCCAACACTTGTGAGGCTGAGGCAGGAGGATCACTGCAAGTTTGAGGCCACCTTGGGCTACATCGTGAGTTCAAGGAAAGCCTGAGTGACACAGCAAGACCCTCAAAAAACAAAAGGGCTGGGATTTAGCTTAGTGGCACTGTACCTGCCTCACAAGTGCAAGGTCCCGAGTTTGATCCCAGTACCAAAAAACCAAAAACCTCACCTTGGCAAAATGACTCCATCCAGTTTGATCCCTAATGGTTTTTTGATTCTAACAGTTGTTTTCAAGCATATCACTCATCTGTCCCCAGAACAACTAAGGGCCCAACACAGGAGAAGTTACAAGCTCTACCTCACCCTGCTTTGTTAATTTCTAGCTGTCATTGCAACCACGCTCCGGCTCTGCCCATCTTTAGATTCTAAGCACTGTGTGAGCAGGGATTTCGAGCTTGGTCCCCAAGGCGACCCCATGTACGGACCAGTCCCTGGAGCACAGCCAGCAATCAGGCCACACTGAGTGTCAGCAAGTTTTCTTGTTTTGTTTGCAGTACTGGTAATTGAGCCCAGGGCTTTGCACTGAGCTATATCCCCAATGCTTTCTATTTTTATTTTCAGTCAGGCTCTTGCTAAACCTTCCTGCCTCAGCCTCCCAGGCATGCCACCACATCTGGTAACCCACGTTTTAAAAGTCCCTTCACGTACTGTCTTGAGACCTTCATGAATGATCATCTCACCTGTGCTTGCATCTTTATTACCTGACTGATGGTTTTCCAGTGCTGAGGATTGAATCTCAGGCCTTGACACTGAGCTACATCCCCTTCCCTTCTTTTGTTTTTTACTTTGAGTTAACGGCTCTTGCTAAGTCACTAAATTGCTGGGGCTGGGCTTGAACTTGGAATGCTCCTGCCAGCACTCCCAGAGAGCCGATACTACAGGCTGCACCGCCACATGCAGCTTGTTTCACTCTTTGCACGTGCTTACCTTAATGAGTTGCTTCTGGTCCCAATGGTGTGCACATAACATGTTCATTCTGCCCACTTTTTCAGTCCCCTCTGAAAGCCCTCCCAACTTCCCACACCTCCTTGCTAGTTGAAGGTTTGATAAAAATGTATTTTTTTAATGTATTTTTAGAATATAGGTCAGATGCTGTTAAATACTATAGAATGGCAATTCTGGCAGAAAATAAATTCTAGATCTCACTGAAACCAGTGCTTCTAGCCATGGACGTACTCCTTAACTGGCAACATCACAATGCTTGCCTCTCTATTTTACATACGAAATTGGTTCAAATTTGAGTCCTCCGAATTCCGATTAAGGCTGTTCCCACTCAACTACTGCTGTGATGTCAAGCAGGTCCTAAGGGCTTTGTGGACTTCACCAGTAAAACACAAACATTAGTATGAATAGTCACTGGAGTTAGACTTGAACATACAATGGTTTTACTGAATCAGCTAAAATATCACAGTAAATGTTTTTGAACCACATTTGCTTAGACTGAACTATTTGATGTTCATTATATGATAAATCTCACTTTGAAACAATGCTAGAGTGGGAAAGTCTGACAAAATTTCTTCAGGTCTTAATGTGATCTTGCTAATTTCCAGAGTATTATATTTCCAGTGATTAATTGTAAGTACTAAAACATTCCAAAGCCAATGTTTGTTAAATTCATTACCACTGTGCTATAACTGTTAAATATGAGAGTAATGTACCTCATGGAAGTTTTCTGCTTCTCGCTCTTTAATTTCAAGGTCAGTTGCTCTCCTCTTTGCTCGTTCCTCTTCTATCTTTTTCTGTACTTCTCTTTCAGACAACTGTCCAATTTTTTCAAACTTGCTTTTTAGGTTTTTAGCTTGAATAGAGCCACTTCTTTTCAATTTGATTAATTCTTCATATTCTCTGCTCAGCTCAAAAGTTTCACTTTCTTCCTCTTCCTTCAAGAAATTAAGATTTTTATGTTGGCTGTGCCCAAATTCCATAGTTCTTTCCTTATCCACAGAGTAGATTTTTCAAGGCACCCAATAGATAATCCTATATGTGCTGTTTCTTTACTACTCATTCTACCTGTAGATCTTAGCAACCCCAGCATACAGATTGTTTTGTTTTGCTTTGGGTTTTTGTTTTGTTTTGTTTATCTGTTTGTTTGTTGGGGGTAGGGTCTCCTGTGTAGTGGGCTGATCTTGAACTGACTGTGTAGTTCAGGCTGATCTCGAACTCATGGTGATCCTCCTCGCTCTGCCTCCTGAGTGCTGAAATTACAGGGGTGCACCACCATGCCCTGCTCGTTTTCTTATTAAATCCAGAACTTTCACCATTTCATTTACGGAAGCCTTTCCAGCTTCTGCCTGGCATATTCAAAATACTACCCTCAGTGCTGTTGTGCGGTTACCTGAACACAAGCCCTGCTCTCCTGTGACATCAATCTGATGACAGAGAAGTGACTAATGGGCAGGTAGTGTAACAGCACAGATGTGCTGGACCAAGGGAGGACTCGTGTTCCGGCAGGATGGAGGGGGACAGCAAGAAATGGCATCACACTACATGGGACGGTGTACAGTCCTACAGTATAAACTTGTGAGTTGTTTACTGCTGAAATTTTCCATTGAGTATTTTGAGACTGGTTGAAAATGCAGAAAGGGGAGGGGACTATAGTTTGTACAATAAAAAGCGTGCACCATTTCTTATGTGAAGCTTAATCTCTTCCCTAAAGATAATGTCCAAATCTGGGCCAGGGATTTAGCTCAGTGGTTTTGCCGCCTGCCTCGAAAGCGCAACGACCCGAGTTCGATCCCTGGAACAAAAAAAAAGATAATGTCCAAATCTAATAGTGGTGTGACAGGGCTGAGGATTTAGCTCAGTGGCATCACACCTGCTCTGCAAGTGCAAGGTCCTGACTTCAATCCCTGGTACCAGGGAAAAAAAAAAAAAGTGCAACTTTTTTTTTTTTTTTTTTTTTTTTTTTTTGGTACCAGGGATCAAACTCAGGACCTTTCATTTGTGCAGCAGGTGGCGAAACCACTGAGCTAAATCCGTGGTGCAACATATTTAAAACTAAAACTAATTGTCCTGGTGCAACATATTTAAAACTAGAAAATATTCCATTTTAAATATTTTTGGTCAGGAAGCATAGCTACAATTCTCTAACATTTCCAGAATTTGCTAAGATTAAAATGTGCTTGGCAAAATTAATGTTTACTAAGAATTATAGGAAGAGTTTTATTAAGGGAAAGAAGTAGAACTGCGAGAATACCAGGCTAGTATTAAGACACGAATTTCAGTTTTGATGATGTGTGTGTGGCCTTTCACCTCAGTGTTCAACCCACTGGGCATGACTTTCTTCATCAATAACTAGAGGCAGAGTACCTCCAAATTTCTCCTTTCGTTTTATGGTAATCTTATAAGGTTAGACATCACTATTAATACTCAAGCTAATATTAGAACTATAATCTGGTAAATTCCTGCATTTTCCTAGAACTGAGTTTCCACAGACAATTAGACTATTCATTTCCAGCTTCCCTCATGAAATAAGTATTACTAAATTTGGGGGAGGTGAAGGAAGGAAAGACTTTGCTATAGTAAATTTATACATTTCTATCCATATGGTGATTATATTATCATTGCAAGCTAGGTAACAGCCAGGATAGGGAAGTAAAACTCCTTTCCACAGCCTCCTGCCCCAACCTGTGACAAACAAGCAACTTCCAAGAGACCGCAGCCCCTGTTCAGAGACTCGTGCAGTTTGTAGATCAGGAGAAATTGGTAAGAACAGCCCACCACCATGTTGCCTGCCAAGCAGACCATGGCACTGCCACTCTGAGGCCAGGACAGTCACTGCTCACCTTGCCCCAAGGGGGGGGGGGTTGTGTGCTGGACCCTGACCCCATCCCTGCCCTGCCAGAATCTTCTCCCTTCCTCTCTGCTGCTGCAAAGTCTGAACCCACAGAAGATAACAGTGTCCAGACATGGGAAGAAGGTTAGGCAAGGCTGTGGGAAGGAGGCCACTGAGAACCCACTGGAATAGCAGGAGATGTAGGTGAGCCAGGGATCCAGTGCCCAATCACATACTCCCCTGACCAATCAGCTTTTACTTAGAACACCCATCATCAAGGACAGTTAGCCTTCCAAGGTGGTGACCTCAGAGCATTGCCACACAGTGCCCTCTGAGCATGGGTTCTTGTGGGTGCAGGAGCTGTATGCCCATGTGACTGGTCCTGTACATGTGTGTACTGAATTCATTTCAACACTAGACAATTCAACATCAGGGTTCTGTATAGAATAATTAGTAAAATAAAATGATTCAAGTACTTGTCAGTAAAGCCTAGTGGTAGACTGTGTGCTTGATGTGCACAAGGCCCTGGGTACAGTCACCAGCCCCCAAAGCCTTGCCAAACTGATGAGCTTATTAAAATCCATGGTACAGGGCCAGGGATTTCGCTCAGTGGTTCCACTGCCTACCTCGCAAGTGCAGGTCCCGAGTTCAATCCCCGGTACCAAAAAAAAAAAAAAATCCATGGTACTCCTGGAGTTTTATTTTAATTAAATTAGCAGTATGCCTATTTCAAGGAAAATTTGTATAAATGAGTATATTAAGTACAGTTCATAATCATGGTGTGCCTGTACACAATTTTGAGCTATAGAGGAAGAAATATTTACTTAAACTATAATATCTCCATCACTTGCAAACTTATATGCATATATTCCTATACATACCTTGGTACTTGACTGCTTAGTACCTCATTTGATACTTGATGTATTTTGATGTAGAAAAAAAAATATATATATATATATGTATTTGTGTGAGATACATGCTTGGGATCGAACCCAGCACCTCACACATGCTAGACAAGAGCTCTGCCACGGAGCTATCGTCTCACCTCCCTTTCTATATTTTTCAAGCTAGCAGGAAAGGAGTAGAGTTGTAGCAGACTCGGAGACACCTGTAACTGCTGAAGCCTGTAGCAAGTCTAGATCTCAGGAGTATGTTGAATATCTTTACATGAATAATAGTACAAGGTTACTGTCAGACCATATAAATCGCTTAACTATAAATGGCATAAATGGATATTTCTTAAAATCTTACCTCTCCCATTTCTTGTCTTAGTTGTTCAAATTCCTGTTTTTCCATTTCTAGTTTATGCTTTCGTTCCTCTTCTGTTCGTCGTTTTTCTTCTTCCATTTTTTGTTTTAATAACTCTTCAAAATTAATTTCCAGTTTTCCCGGTGTAAGAGATTCTTGAGAGATTGTTTTATATATCTCTGGGGAGTCATCATCTACTACCTTTTTAAAATAATTATCACTTTTACCTTCTACATACTAAAAAGGGAATTTTTTTTTTTGTACTGGGGATCGAACTTGGGACCTTTTGCTTGCAAGGCAGGCGGCAGAACCACTGCGCTAAATCCCTGGCCCAAAAGGAAATATTTCCTATACCCACTGGAATTACTTGAATAGAAAGGTTTCAAACTGAACTAATAACCAGATCAAAAATTCTGTTCAAAGGTAATAAAGGAGGAATTATTAGGAAATGTAAAAGTGTAAGGGAAGAATTATTAGAAAATGTAAGACATATTTTGTGGTTATAGAAGAAATGATAACTATTCTCCATTCCAATAAACTTTGCTTTGAAATACTTTGCTTTTATGAGTAATTTGAATTATATATTAATATTTCATTAATATTGAGAACATTTTAATGGATTAAAATGAATCTCCATTCTGGTAATTAAAATAGAACATTTCAGTTAAGTCAAGATTTCTGAATAAATAGCCCATCATGAGCTTTTCATAATCAAATACTACAATTTTATTGTACTGATTTATTTGCTGCCAAGATAATTTTAAATAATATAATTCATATTTACTTAGCGCTTCCAGGTACAGTTATAAGCAGTTTACATGTACTAATTTATTTAATCCTATAACTTTATGAAAGTTAATATTAATATCCTCATTTACAGGCATGAATGAGAAACTGTGTTTCTGGCACCCACTGAGCCCTTCGGTGGCTGATTAGGCCAAATAAACCCTTGGATATGCGTTTAAAGCTTGGCCAGGCAGAGGAAGAGAAACAGGTTACCATGAAGTCAGTTAAAATGTAACAAGAAAAGGAGGCAGGGTTCGTGTGTCACATGACCTGAAAATGCTGTCAGTGATACAGAAAGTGTCACTGGTGTCAGCTGGGTGTCAGCATCCAGGCACCACGGGCCAGCATGTTGGAGGGTTAGCTATTAAATGACTCCTTGCTTACTGCACACTGGACGGGATGAAAATTGAAAAGAAAGAATGAAGGAGGAAGGAGGTGAGGGCCACGGTGTGACAGAGGTAGGGAGGAGAGGCCAGACAGGACGAGGAGTGGGAGTGAGAGTGGGGAGCTCCCTGCTTAGGTACTGGGCCCTAGAAACCCTGCCTTGAAAAGAAGGAAGGCAGCGTCCCCCTCACCCAGGCACGGCAGCTCAACTGGAAACTGCACCAACAGTGAGCAGTGCTGTCCCACGGGAAACTAGAACCTACTCGCCACCCCTGCTCAGCCAGGTCCTAGAAATAACAGGACACCTGCCCCAGCCTGGTGCTTCCTGAGCCCAGAGCCCAGGCCAGACGCCTGTGGGTTGGTGCTCACCATGCTTCTCCTTGCTTCAGCAAATGCCTTCTTTTCTTCCTCTATCCTCCTCCTGGCTGCCTCTTCTGCTTTCCTTTTCTCCTCTCCTCTCCGTTGCCTTTCCATTTCCTCAAAACTGAGTTTGAGTTTACCAGGGCGGTACTCTTTAAAATTTCTTTCTGTGTCTTCATGTTCCTCCTCTTCGCTTACCTACTCAAAGAAACAATTCGTTCCTGAGAACTGAGGTTCATTAACGAGGGGAATGAGCTGTCACTCACAAGGCACAGAATCCTGCTGCACACAGGACTGTTGCTGTCCCTTAATGTACCCAGCCAAATCCCCTTCCCTTTTACTATAGGAAAAGCATTCTACATAAGATAAAATATTTAAAATGGAAAAAATTCCAAATAGAGATATACTCAAGTTAGATAGAACTTCTCCATCAAGTCACGTTTTAAACAAAATGAAATATTTCAAAAAACTTGAAGGGGTCATACTGAACATTAACTCAAAGTGTGTGTGTGTGTGTGTGTGTGTGTGTGTACCTAAATTGATGCTTAGGTGTACCTACATAGAGCCTTTTAAAGTTCTCTTTTTTTAATTTTTAAAGAATTTTTTTCACTGTGAACTATGACACTTTCGTCATAGTGATCAGATTATTACCTGGAACTATTTTATAGAAAATTCAAATTCTGGGCTGCTTTGTACTTCGGTAGTAGAGTGCTTACCTATTTGTGAAGCCTTGGATTCAATCCCCATGCCCACCAAAACCAAACAAAAACTTCAAATTTCATGATTTTATTTCATTTTTTAATTAGTTTAAATATTAATTGAAATGTATTATTTGGTTATTATATTTCTGTTTAAGTTAACTACCAGCAATATATAAAATGTGTAGTTATGTGACTATATAAAAAAGTAGTAACATTTTCAGTAAATGTCTAGAAAATTTTAAAATGTTTTTGAACCTAGGCATTTACCTATTTATTCAGCATCTACCTCCTCCCTAAACTGCTCCACAAGAGTAAGAATCTTTTTTTAATTTTCATTTTTATGAGTCTACATTTGCAGTACATAATGGGTGCATTCCTTGTGAGGGGTTGGTGCATGGACATAACCCATCTGAATTCTTTTTACTCCTCCCTCCATCTTCTGGTCCCCTTCCCTTTTGCAAGAGATCTATCTCCTTATTTCCCATTATCTATCTTTTATTTTGCTCTTTATTTATACTTTGGGTTTCTCATATAAGAGAGACCATGTGATATTTAAGCTTGTGTGTCTGATTTATTTCATTTAACATTATGGTCTCAAAGTGGATCCTACAAATAACTCAAATTTATCCTTCTTTATGGCAGAGTAGTACTCCATTGTATTATAAATACCAAACTTCTTACTTTTTTTTTTTTTTTTTTGCAGTACCAGGGACTAAATTCAGGACCTTGCGCTTGCAAGGCAGGCAGGGTGCCACTGAGCTAAATCCCCGGCCATGCAAACTTCTTTATCCATTCATGTATTAAGATTTTTGAGATATAATCCTTAGACTATCACTGATGAAAACCAATTAAGAAAGTTGTGGTAATTTTTAAAATTACAGATGTTCCATTTTCAAAATTCTTCAAATGCGATTGGGAACCAGTATTTTTTATTTCAATTTGATTTTTTTTTTTTGGTACTGGGGATCAAACTCGGGACCTTGCTTATGAGGCAGGCGACAGAACCACTGAGCTAAATCCCCAGCCCTTCAATTTGATTTTTTTGTTTTGTTTTGTTTGTTTTTTGTTTTTTGGTACCAGGGATGGAACTCGGGTCCTTGCGCTTGCATCAGTTTGATTTTTTTATTGATAAATCTGTTAACGCCATACTATGACTAGTTAACATTTTAAAGCATTTAGGAAATGCCAGCACTATTATTTTCATCATTTTAGCAATGAAACCAAGACATACAGAGTTTAAATAATTTGCCTCTAATTATCCAATCAATAAACAGTTGACGCCCGAATCCAAGCAGTATAGCTCCCTCGTCTGTGCTCTTAACCACATTACGCACACGTACACACACACCGCACACTTTATTGGGTAAAGTGCATATTCCTCAGTACACTCTTATTTTAATGTTCTAATATTTGCAAACTGCACTGAAACCAAATATACACTCGTAGTGAGACTTGAAAATGTCCTGCAACTATGACACTAAATATACTACAGACTGAACTACAGAAAAGAAACTAGGTTTACTGAGTCACTACTTTGCAAACATATATAGTAACAGTATAAAATAAAAATTCAAAGCATATTAGATATAAAATGCCCCAAAGTTGAAACATGAAAACATTACAGATGCCTTTTATATGTTGAATATATATATATAGTTTCCAAATCAGCCTTGAATGCCTGGTAATGACCCATCTCTGAAGCTAGCCAGCTTCCCTAATTAATATAAAGTAAGTAGTACATTCCTTACCATCTGCCGCCTGGCTTCTTCAAAGGCTCGCTTCTCTTCTTCTAAACGCTGCCTGGCTTCCTCTTCTGCTTGCTTCTTTCGGTTTTCTTGTCTTTGTCGCTCCAGTTCTTCAAAAGTCAATTTCAGTTTTCCAGGAAAAGGTGATTCTTTTTTTGCCTCGTTTTCCATTTCATCATCCTAAGAAAACATGAGATCTACCTGTCAGCCATAAAGGGAAATGCTGTTAACTAAACTATTTTAATTTGTTCTTTTAAACAAAAAAATTACCATGACCAATGAAAGACACTTTGCTTCCTTGAGAGAGCACTGCTGCTCTTCATATCGTATTTTATCTTCTTCACAGGTTAGCCTTTCTTTTTTCTCTCGCTCTTTTTCTAGATCCTCAAAATTCCTCATTTTTCCCGATGTTTTGTATGATTTGACAGGTATCACTGTTATTAGTAGTGAGTCATCCCCTTCCTATTGTATAAGACAGATAATTAGCTTATATCTTAGTAAAAATTCAGGTCTTGGGGAACTTTACCTCCATCAATGGTGAGTTTCATTACATTGCCATGAATGTTACTATGAAAAACAAAAAAATTAGAGTTTTCTACTAATTACTTTTAGATATCTTTCTTGAAAGTCAGTGTGCATTGTTAGTTAAACTTATTGAAATCCATTGCTGACAAGGTTGGAGAAGCATTCCATTCCCTAAAAAGTGGAGTTATTAACTAATCAGATAACAAAGCAGAAGTGACATCGGCAGGCTGAATCGCCTGAATCCCACACAGCTGGTATGCACATGAATGGACTCAAAGTCAACTTGATGGTGGACACATTTAGCTTAAACACATGAAAAAGGGCCGGGGATTTAGCTCAGTGGTTCCCGCGCCTGCCTTGCAAGCACAAGGTCCTGAGTTCCATCCTTGGCACCAAAAAAACCAAAAAAAACACACAAAAAAGTTTCTTCGTATGATTCTTTATGTAGGTTTTAAAATACTTGATTAAGCTAGTGTTTAATTTCTTAAAAACCCCATGAGATACCCAACTGATTGACTAAACATTTACAATATAAAAATCTTTAGTATTTTGTCTATTAAAATATTTTTAATTGATTTCAGTTAGCCCTACCACATAATCTATTATTCCTTCCAACTTTTCTCAAAAATAAGAAAATTCTAAAATGTAATACATGTCCTTAAACATTTCCAATTTATGTGGCTGTAGTTTTAGGCACACCATCAAATTGTTTGATTTTTAACTTGCTCTGTTAGATGAAAAGGTATAACCGAAACGTGAATGTTGTTACGTAGTAATACACACTGCCCTGTCTACTAGCATGTAAAAACCAAAACATAAACTATCAGGAGCGCTGAGGAGAAAAAGACAAATAATGAAAACTGTCTTTTAAATGTTAGCTTTCAACAATCTCAACTGTTAGTAAGAATTCAAGAAATATATAGTCTTGGCAGAGTATCCCAAACTGAGACTTGCTTTTCTAATCCAACTATGAGAGCAAAACATTTTCCCTTAAAAACACTAAGCTTTAGAGTTTGAAAGTACAAAAGTATAACCTTGCCTTTGAAAAACAGATTTCTTTTATGTAGCTACTGTTATATAAAATGAGGTAAATAGAAGCCCTTCTAATTTTCTTAGATTACAAGATAATGTGCGAATCAGATAGTTGGAGGTGAGTGCTTCATGAAAGGAAACATCTGTTTACCTCGGATCCTGATTCAGTTGCCGTATTGTTTATGTCCTCAATCTATTGAATGAGAATTTCAAATCATTACGTTACATTGAATTTCTGCTTCTTGGTTTTAAACATACAACTGAAAAGTAATTTAGCTGTGACTTATGGTAAATTTTCAAATATGTAATTTTGGAAATATTTTATGTTGTTCCAGATTAGCCGAATGTTCTTTTAAATGGAAATTAAACCTTAAATTTTTGCATCTTGAGGTCAATATCCAGGGAACAGCATGTTAAGAGAAAATTAAGATAATGCCTACCTTTGTAAATCTGGAAATTGAATAATGGACCAGACTCTGACCTGGCTGTGAGCTTACCACCAGCAATTGTTAATTTAATTAGCAGTTTAAACTGAATGCACAGAAACATTCTTCCATTATTTGCCCCTGCCCCAACAAAAGGAAAATTGATCATTAGCAATCAAATATTTGTCATGATTATATTTACAACATAAATATAGGGCAAAAATATAAGTGACACAATAATGTGGTATAATGTGTAGGCTAATTTAGAAGGGAAAAGAATTCTGGAATTCATAGTGTTTTCTCTGTATTTTGAACAGATTTAAAAAGGAAAGACTCATTTAAAAAGTGAGAACTACTCAGTGGTTTTGCCGCCTGCTGCGCAAGGACCGGAGTTCGATCCCCGGTACCAAAAAAGAAAACGAAAGTGAGAATTCTGAAGGAAAAAAATGGAAACAGCTTTTGTACATAGGGAGGGGAGGGGCTTGATAGGGGAAGGGGATAAAATAGAATAAAATTTATTTTTAAAATTTTGGGGCTGGGGATTTAGCTCAGTGGTTCCACCACCTGCCTCACAAGCTCAAGGACCAGAATTCAATCCCCAGTACCAAAAAAAAAGAAAAATTTTTTTTAAAAAGAGAACTCACTGGGCACAGTGGTATATGCCTGTAATTCCAGGAGCTTGGGAGGCTGAAGCAGGAGGATTGCAAGTTTGAGGCTAGCCTGAGCAATTTAATAAGACATTGACTCAAAATTTAAAAAAAAAATTTAAAAAGGTTTTAAAGGACTGGGGACATAGCTCAGTGGAGACAATCGACTGATCACTCAGCGCTCACTTGGGCCGTTCCTCTTAGGAAACATATTGGCTTGCCTGAGAGGCAGGCCAGTGTGCTTTCCATGGTAATAACTGAAAGAAGATGTCTGCTTTAAATACTGCAGTGTTTGATATCTTAGAAAAACAAAACATAAGCAAGAGGAAAGTAGGAACAATAAAGTAAAACTTCATGGGCTGGGTGGGCACGTAGAGATTCCTGGTACCAAAAAAAAAGTAAAGCTTCAAATTTTTAATTGCTTTAATTATTTATAATATTAGTGAGTTTGGAAGTAGTTTGCTCCTCGTGCACCTTAAGGGAATCCTGCTGTACTATGCCCTACATTAGGAAGCAGGCTGTGTAAGGACCTGCCTCTCATCTGACTTTTCTTTCCTATATTCTCTGTCATGGAAGAAATAAGACATTTTATTCACATACCCAGTATATTAATAAATAAATTATTCTGAGCAAATCATTTATTTTTAAAAGTCTACTTTATACTTTAATAATTTATTTTTAATAATTTCATTCAGAAGCCGGCTGTGGTGGTGCACACCTGTAATCCTAGCACTTGGGAGGCTGAGGCAGGAGGATTGCTGCAAATTTGAGGCCAGCCTGGGCTACAGAGTGAGTTCAAGGCCAGCCTGAACTACACAGTGAGACCCTGTTTCAAAAAAACAAAATAATAATAATAATAATTTCATTCAGGATAATTTCCTTTGTTACAGAATTACTTGTTAACACTGATTTGCCATGTAAATGGTAAAGGTTTTATTGAATGATGTATTATACAAAGAAAAAATTTAACAAATCTACAGTAAAATAATTTAAAAATAACTTGCCTTCTAAAAATACTGTCAACTGGGCCAGGGATTTAGCTCAGTGGTGCCGCCGCCCGCCTCGCAAGCACAAGGTCCTGAGTTCGATCCCCGGTACCAAAAAAACCATACTGTCAACTCCTATAAAAATTACATTAAGTTCTCAATAAAAAGATCCAGACTGGGCTGGGGATTTAGCACAGTGCCACCGCACCTGCCTCGCGAGCACAAGGTCCGGAGTTCGATCCCCGGTACCAAAAAAAGATCCAGACTTTGAGAGCACAGGAAAGAGAAATGCAAATGTTCGGGTCCTGACTCCTTTTTCCTTGTGGCCACCACACCCCCCCACACCCCACACCCCGTCTTCCTTAGCTAAAGACAAGGTGCTCGGTGCTCGGGTGTATCTGGAGTTTTTTTCTTTTGCTCATTTTAAACTATTACCCAAGGGGCAAAAGATAAAATAATTTTCTTCAGTAAACAAGGAAAAAGATGCAGGTGTGGAAGGGGCCGCGGTGCCCGCGCCTTCACAGAGAACAGGTCTTCCTTCAGGTCAGTTGCGCCGTCGCCTTCCGCCTTCCGCCTTCCGGAAGCCAGCGCTGAAGAGCGACTCCCTCCTCTCCCTGTAACTCGCGGAAAGAAAACTCCTTTGTTTCTTCCCAAGTCGGTTTCTTTTGACCCCTCTCATTTCAAGATCCTTTCCCCCACCTATAACTTCTCCTTTTCTAAGTTGATGGGCTTTAATTTTGCCCATCAGACTATCTTTAAAGATCACCAGATAATATCAAGATTTTTCCTCAAAATTTTCATTCTAACATCCAATATACAAGTCATATCCAATTTTAATTCATCATAAGAGCCTAGAATTTTTTTGTTTTGGCCTCGAACTCGCGGCTGTGATCCTCCAGAGTCCTGGGATTACAGGGGTGCGCCAACCCTGGCCTAGATCCTACAACCCTAGAACCGGTGCTAATCTTGGCAGCTACTCCCTCGCCCCAACCCCCAAACGCAGAAATCCCAGGGAGGGTTTTGTTTTGGGGGTTTTTTTGGACCGGGGATAGAACTCAGAACCTTGTGCTTGCAAGGAAGAGGCGGTGCCACTGAGCTAAATCCCCAGCTCCCTTTTGTAGCATTCTTGCTTGTGGATTTGTACAACTGGACTTTGTAAACAAACATTAAGACTCTCTTGACTATCTTTGCCAGCTTCTACTCCTTATCTTCAAAGATACTGTGGATTATATTATATCGAAGTGGAAAATATACTTAGATTTAAAATTAAACTTCACATATTTACAAGATGAAAGTATTTCTAATACTCTGCCTACATACCCATAATTTAACAGCCCCAACATTTTATTAACCAGGGTTCTCTGGCCCCTGCCATGTTAGCAGATATTTGGAGTAACTAAATTCTTTTTTAGAATAAAAAAAGAGTAGCTTAGAGTAACCAAGTTATTTTTAGGATCAGATTTTGTTTCCATCACTCTCTGAAAATCCTATGTCTTCATCATATTCAAACCCGTTTCTTCAACACACACACACAATTTTTAAAATCTTTCTTTCTTTTTTGGGGACAAGGTCTTGCTTTGTAGTACAGCCTGGCCTTGAACTCGATGATCTTCCTGCCCCAGCCTCCCGAGGGCTGGAAGCACAGGCATGTGCCACTACACCTGGCTCACACACTTTTTTTGAAAAACCACTGCCTATATATTCTATTCTTGAGGTTGAATTGGCTTTGAAAGTCTTTCGGTGCTGCAAAAGGATACAAAATTAAAAAAAAAAAAAGGATACAAAATTTAAAGAAGTAGCTGGGCATGGTGGTGCACGCCCATAATCCAGTACTCAGGAGGCTGAGGCAGGAGGATCACTGCAAGTTCCAGGCCACCCTGGGCTACACAGCAAGACCCTGTCTCAAAAAAAGGGAGGGCAGTGGGAGAGAGGCTATCATCCAAGTATGTTATATGCATGTATGAAAATGGCATAGTCCTTTTATTCTCTATATAGTCTATATATTAATATGTGCTAATAAAAGAATTAAAAACAAAAAACTTAAAGTAGACTAATCTCATGTACAAATGCACTATTTTCTGCCAAACACCATATATTTAAATTATATATTTTATTCTCTTATTTTGTAATTTTTAATAAAATAATTATGTTACCTATATATGTTTATAATTTATAATAATTCTCATATATTATAATTTTATTTTCTGGTAAAACTTCACTTCAAAATGAATGTTAATATTAAGGACTAGAAGATTTGAATATTTAAATATTTTTACTTAAGATACTGGTGGGGGTTTTTTTTGGTACCGGGGATCAAACTCGGGACCTTGCACTTGCGAGGCAAGGCAGTAGCACCACTAAGCTAAATCCCCAGCCCTTAAAATACTGTTTTTAGGTTAGCTGCTATTACTAGGTTTATGTTACATTAAAGTATTTAATTAAGAAACATACTGATTAGTTTTCCTGAGGAAAATTAGTTTCAGAAGCAAATAGCAACTTAACATTGCATATGTACCTGCTCAGCCCTTTTTGCTAATTCACGCTGTATTTTCCTCTTTTCTAACATATCCTGCTCGATCCTGCGTCTCCGTTCCTCCTCTGTTCTCTTCCTTTGTTCCTCTTGTCTTTGCTTCTCCATTTCAGCAAATTTACCTTTCACAGTACCTAAGAGTACATGAAAAAACATTTGATATTTTGCTGTTTCTTTTGCAATTTCATTCATAATTTTCCCCTCTGGGTTCTTTTACCTGTTAGCTTCGGGACATAGGCCTTTTCTGCTTTAGAAGACACTTCTTCCTCCTCATCAGAAGCAAGCATGTCCTTAATCTAGACAGTTAGATAAGTCAGGGTGAGCACAGGCCCCCAGTTAGGCTAAACCCTGCAACCGACCGCGGCCCTGTCATCTGCAGGGGATGCCTCCCCGCACCCCAGTGGGGCTGCAGCTGAAGAGTCCGAGCCCTGGAAATGTAATTTATAAACAGGCTCAGAAAGAGCGTAACAGCCACGAATTATAAAGTAGAATGATTGTACCCGTATGTGTAAGCAAAGGTATTTAAAATCTCTGCGCTGTTTACTTCTTGAATAGTCAGTCCATTTAATCTTTTCAGACCAAGACTGACTGCAGGTGACTGAAAGGGTAGAGAGTAAAACCGCAGATAAGGAGGGCTACTAAGTATGCAGGCCACAAATGAGCTTACAGATACAGAGAAACCCTGCAGTTCTAGTAAACAGGAAATGTTACTGTGAATATTAAACAATAACATTAAATAAAGTGTACGGTAAAAGTGAAAATGAAAGTTAGCACGAGAATAAAATAAAATAACCTCCTGCTTTCTCCTGTTCCATTCTCTCTCTCTAATATATTGTTCTTTTCTTCTCTGCTTTTCGTCTCTAGATCGCCTTTGGTTTCTTTCTTCCCTGGCTTTCTGCATGGCTTCAAACTTATCCTTCACGTCCCCCTTGCCAAGTTTGGGCACATAGGATTTGGGGACAGGTTTAGATGAAGAAAGCAGAATCTTCGTTAGAAGAAAATAAAGAGAAGAAAGATTTTTAAAAGATAGGAAGAAAATTAGGTGAAGATAAGCAATATAAAAGTACTTATTGAAACAGAAAAAGAAATGAGCTTGAAACCTTTATTTTAACCACTGCAACCTGATTAGGTAATCTCTACAACTCCAGCATAGAACATGAAATTACAGAAAATAGAAGAAATTGCATCAACATAAAATTCTTCTTTAGGAGAGAAGTCCCATTTTATGGGTAGCATTCCACTCAACAATAGAATATAAAAATCAAAAACTGAAATCTAATGAGAAAACAACTTGTATTTTATTTTCCTCCTTCATTATTAAAGATTCAGATCTGACATCACTTGCTTAGAAGTTACTAAGACTAACTTCAGTAAAATATGTGGTGTTTTGTCTTATTTTATAAATTTGATTTTGTTTTTGAGACAGGGCCTTGCTATGTAGTCGAGGCTGGCCTCAAACTCGAGGCATCCTCCTGTCTCAGCCTCCCAAGCTGAGGTTTTTTTAAACTTTGTCATGTTAGGATATCTGTAACTGAGCTCATGTAAAAATTCTCAGTAAGTACAGCAAAGAACCAAAGAAAAAGCTAAGAGAAACATTTTTACAGCTATTAAAAGAAGGCTCCTCACAGAAGAATCATTATCTTTTTCTCCTGTGAGTGTAGGTCGTATCTGTTTTGTTTTGCTTTTTTAGCACTGAGAATAACTTCTAAGACTCACCAAGACATTTAAAATTCTGCTGAAGCAGCCAGGCATTATGTCCACCCCACTCCACTCACAAGCTTAGTAATCATGCTTCCTGGACTCCAAATGAAAATACTGACCCAAGCTCAGCCTGTGGTTCGTATCTCTTCTCCTTTTCATCTCACATTACATTGTTAATCATGAGCTTGCCATCAAATGAGTGCCCTTCAGCGATGCTACAGTCAAGCTTCCATTTCCCTCTGTTTTGTTTTTTTTTTGGTATCAGGGATTGAACTCGGGTCCCTGTGCTTGGGAAGCTGGCAGTGGAACCACTGAGCTAAATCCCCAGCCCTTTTTTTCTTTTTTTAAAGTTTTTGAGACTTACCTCAGCCTTTTGGGAAATATCATTCATGTTTGCTCTGTGTGGTTTTAGGCTGATGATGCTTTATATATTTTTGCACCTGCAAAATAAATTTAAGTATTTTATAAGAATTTTAATGACCCCACTTTAAAATGTTATGCATTTCTGTCAATAGAAACAGCATTGAATTTCTCCTAAATAATGCAAGCAAGTAACAAAACTGTGATAACCTTCAGCACCTTTTCCCAAGAGTCAGGGTACAGGCAACACAGGTCCATGGTGTTAGAGATCCCTGGGCAAACATAGCAGGTTGAAAGGGTGTGTATTCTGTAAATATCTGACGTATTAGCCCAAAAAATATCAAATAGATTAAGGTGGATGATCATGTTTTTAGACCTTCTATCAGTCTTCACCTACCAAGAATTTTCTGTCTCTCCCTTTAATTTCATCATTTTGTTTTTTGTAATTTCAGGTTTTCTTTTAAACATATACACATGATTGCAGCATTTTCTTTTGGAATTGATCCTTTCATCGGTATGAAATTTCCCTCCTCACCCGGCAAGGTGATGCAACCTATAATCACAGCACTCAGGAAGCTGAGGCAGGAGGATCACTGTGAGTTTGAAGCCAGCCTGGGCTATGTAGTGAGTTCAAGGCCAGCCTGAATTACGGAGTGAGACGTCTCAAAAACAAAAAGGAAGGAGGGAAGAAAGGAAGGAAGAAAGAAATTTCCCTCTTCTTACTTCATTGTCTTGAAGTTATCTAATATTAAAATAACCATACCAACTTTCCTAGGTCTACAGTTTGGTGTACAATTTTCTATCCATTTACTTTCAACTTATTTCTGTTTTTATAGATTAAGAATTTCTCTTAGACACAGCATATAACTGGACTTTGCTTTTAAAAATCAATTTTTATTATGTCTGCCTTTTAATTTCAGTATTTCATTCATGACCACTGGGTCTACTATTTTATAGTTAATTTTTTGAGGTTGGGGTCTCACTATGTTGCCTAGGCTGGTCTCAAAATCCTGGGCTCCGCTGAGCCTCCTGTCTCTGCCTCCCGGGTAGCTGGGTCTCCAGGCAGCTGTTTGAATAGACCTTATTTGTAGAGCAGTTCGAGGTCCCCGAAACACTGAGGCAAGTCACGCATCTGCGTGAAAGCCCATACGTACCCCACCCCGCGAGCACGGCCTCCTGGTTACCAGTACCCAGACAGCACATCTGAGAAGGACCGTCCTTACCGCCCAGAGTCCAAGCTCCGATCGCACTGCAGGAGTGGGGTGCATGCAGTGCCAGGGATTCTGCTGCTCCCAAGCCCTCCGTGTCCCCCTCGCCCTTCCTGTGCCATGTGCCCAGTAACAACTGCAGATTCCTTTACTTGCCTCTTCCAGGCCCTCAGTGTAGCCCCCTGCAGATTCGCTTCCTTCTTTGTGCTTGGATCAAATGCAAGGCCTGTTGAACCCTAAGCTCACACTTTACCAGGAAGCTGCGGCCTCAGCTGGCTTCTCTCACTTAGTGAGGTGCATTCCAGTTCCTTCCAGTCTTCGTGTGGCTTGTTGACTCACCTACTTTTAATACTGGATAATATTCCATTATCTGGTCTAAATGCACCAGTTTATTTCCCCACTCATCTACCGAACACGCTGGTTGCTTCCAAGTTTTGGCAACTGTACATAGCCATGTGTAGGTTTTTTATGGACGTAACATCTCAATTCCCTCAGCGTAACTACCAGGAGGCATGATTACTGGGCCACATGGTAGGAGGTCATTTAGATTTCAAGAGACCAGCAAACTATCTTCCAAGGTGGCTATAAAAGTGTGCGTCCCCCAGCATGGATGCGAATCACTTGCTCCACATGCTACTCGCACTTGATGTCAGTCTTCTTGATTTTGCCCGTTCTTCCAAGTGGACAGTGGTATCTCAGTGTGGGGTGTGTGTGTGTGTGTGTGTGTGTGTGTGTGTGTGTGTGTGAGAGAGAGAGAGAGAGAGAGAGAGAGAGACACTGCAGACCAAACCCAGGGCCTTCACTTTAAGCATATCCCTATTCTAAAAATGTTTTTCGGGACCGGGGATTTAGCTCGGTGGTTTTGCCGCCTGCTGCACAAGCACAAGGCCCCGAGTTCGATCCCCGGTACCCCCCCCCCCAAAAGAACGTCCTTGTATATTTTGGGTAAAGGTCCTTGCTCTGATACGTCCTTTGCAAATACTGTATCCCGGCCTATTCTCTCCCCCCCCTCCCCTTCCCTCCCCTCTCTCCCTCTGTCTTCCTCTCTCTCACTGGCAGTTCATTCTCCTCACTTTTACAGAAGTCCCGCTTGCGTTCCATGGGCTGGGCCTTCTGTGTCATAACTAAAGCGTCAGCTCCAGACCCGAGGTCATCTCGCTCTTCCTGTTGCCCCTCAGGAGTTTACCCGTCCGGGTTTACATCTGCCCGTGGTCTCCTCTGGGGTGGATTCCGTGAGGAAGGGAAGCTGCGCCTAGAATTTTTCTCTTTCCAGTGTGGCTGTACCGTTGTCCAGCAGCCTTTGCTGGGAGAACACTGCTCCCCAACTGCACTGCCCACTTGTGAGTCACCTCCGAGCTCCCTGTCGGGACTCCCAGGGTCATCCGCGGCTGTCGCGGTTATCAGACTGGGGTTATCAGTCGAGCGCCCTGTGCAGCCAACCCTTGTGAGGGCCCTGCGCGGCCTCAGCTCCCACCTTACTCCGGCTCCATCAATCACATGGGCACTGGAGTCATCGCTCGTCACCACAAGGGGGCGCTGTCGTACAGTAAGATATTTGCGAGATCACATTCCCTGAACTTCTATTAAGTATGCTGTTATGATCGCTTTATTTACTTACTTGTTTAGGTTTTTTGAGACAGGGTCTCGTTATGCAGTTCAGGCAGGCCTTCAACTCACTATTTAGCCCAGGCTGGCCACAAATTCATGGTGATCCTCCTGCCTCAGCCTCCCGAGTGCTGGGATTACAGATGTGCACCAGCCACCACACTAATTGTCCTATTTATTATTTAGTATTGCTGTTCATCTCGAACTGTATCTACTTTGTAAATGGAGTTTTCTCAAAGGCACTGTGTATGGGAAAGAAGGTAGCATGGAGAGGAGAGGGATGGAACGTCCCATGGCCTCAGGCCTCCCGCGGTCTCGGCGCGTAACCTGCTGGACATCTTAAACTCCTAGTGTCTGTTGTCTTCGTGCTCCCTCAAAACCGTGCTGGTTATTCTGGATCTTTCCCCTCTCCACATAAACTCTGTTGGTCAAGGTCAAAGAAACAATTTATGAGGGTTTTTTTCTTTATCGCAGTCGCACTGAACCTGCACGTGGACTTAGGGAGAACTGCCAGGTCCGTAACACTCCTCTCGTGCCCGAACCCTGCCTCCTCACTCCTCCACGCCTCCTGGAGCTTCTCTCCAAGATCTTTCCTGCTTTGCGATATGCAGGACTTCACATCTCTTGCCAGATCTAAACACATTCACATTTGTTGGTTGAACGTGTATTAGTCCATTGCTTTTTATCACTGTGAGAAAATCCCTGAAGCAGGAGCGCGGGTCCGAGCGGGAGACCGCAAGCTAGGAAGCCGGAGTGATTTGGGACTCGGCCTCACTGTCGCCGGAGAGAACTCGGGGTCACGGGGGAGCCACCCGAGCCCTCCTGAGCACAGGCCCCGTGAGCAGGTCCCAGTCCAGCGTCCAGCCCAACGCTGCGGAAACCTGCCAGTTATTCTGCAAGCCTCCCCGCTGGAAGGCAGAAACAGCTTCACGCACGGCGGCGCCTCCTGCAGGCCTGCGCGGGTCGCTCTCCTTACTCCCAGCTCCGCCGGCTCCGCACTGGCGGCCCCCAGTTCCCGGCGCGCACAGTCGCTGGGCCCCCTGCAGCACGGGCCTCCCTCCCGCCTCCTGTGGGCCCACCATGCTCACACCCCGGCCTCCTGCCAGCCTCCCTCCCTCGCTCTAGCCAGCCAGGGCAGGGCCCACGGACCACTCATCTCAAAATAAAAAATAAAAAAGGGCTGGAGATGTAGCTCAGTGTGAAGACCCTGGGTTTAATCTCCAGTAAAACACACACACACACACACACACACACACACACACACACACACACGAAGACAGTGGTGGAGGAGGACCTTTGGAGTTGAGACATGAAACTCAATGAGGTTCTGTTTAGTCAGCCATTAGATAAGACAGTTACCTTTTGTGACTTTTTTTTTTTTTGGTACTGGGGATCAAACTCAGTAATCTTGGGCCGGGGATTTAGCTCAGTGGTTCCGCAGCCTGCCTTGCAAGCTCAAGAACCCGAGTTCGATCCCCGGTACCAAAAAAAACCAACAACTCAGTAACCTTGTGCTTTCGAGGCAGGCAGTGGAACCACCGAGCTAAATCCCTGTCCCTTTTGTGACTATTTTCCTTCCTTCCTTCCTCCTTCCTTCCTATCTCTCTTTCTTTTTCCAGTACAGGGACTAGAACTCAAGACCTTGTGCTTTCCAGACGGCCACAGCGCTACTGAGCTACATTCCCGGCCCCGACTGCTCTTCTTGCTGTCCTGCCCGATCAGATGGGCAGTTCTGTCCTCCTGTCCCCTACATATGACAGCCTGCCTGTCTTCCTGCTCGGGTCCTTCTCCAGCCGTTTCACCATTCTTTCCTGTCCCCGGCCATCCCGTCCGTCTGCCTTTTTTCACTGCTCAGGGTGTCTGCCCCAGATTTCAGCCCTTGTCCTTTCCTTCCCACTCTAATTTTTCTCCAGTGACTTAATGCACTCTGTAGCTCCAGTTACCTCCTCACCCTCCTCTCTTTAGCCCTCCCTCCCACATCCCTCCTGCCAAAGTCCTGCCATGACAGCCTCCCCAGCTGCATTAGCTTAATGATCTTCTCATCCCCTTGCCCCTTAGCTAACTCCTAGTCACTTTTTAGTTCTCGGATAAGTTGTCGCTGGCCCCAGGAAGTATCCTGTGACTCTGCGTGACTAGGCCAGGCACAGCCCTCTCCCGTTTGCAGAGCCCAGGGCACCATCTACAGTGCCACCCCGCCCTCCTGACCACCTCCTCCCCAGAATTTGAGGTCTTTGAGTGAAGACTATTTCTGTATACCCTCGTATCCA